ATATATACGCGCAACATATTTTCTCCTTCTTTGCTATTATTTTTATTATCAGATTTAGAAATCACGAAAAAGTCCCTGTGAGAGGTAGCACGATAAAACACGATAGCTCTCGACGACAATCCTAGATTTTCCCGTCGATGAATATTGAACTAAGTGCGATTTATACTACTGTAAAGTGGGAATCAGTGAACAATACAAGATGAAAAAGAAAAAGAAAAAGAAATTGAATTGCAATGTGTTCACACATACACACACACACAGAGCGCGCACGCGAACATTTTTATGGACATTTTAACTGCGCGAGGAGTAGTTCGCATTTTTTTCAAGCATTCATCCAATGAAATATTCTACCAGTAAAATCGAATTGTTATCGACATATTCTGTCAAAACACAGCATATACTATATAGCCATATTACCGGTCTACTTTACTCTCTAACCGAACAATTGTGCCAAATTTACATAATCGTCGTTATTCACGCTATCCATAAGCAAGTTATAGAGCGAGATAGGTGCTTACATAATACACACATGTTATTGATCACTATAATTATAGACATGATATAGCTATAGCGATAGCTATGATAGCTGTATAATCATATGCGTATCATAACTGTCCGATTATACATTTTACTATAACGTAAATAAAACGGATAAAAATATTCATTTAAAGCTTATACAAAGCTTCTTTTTTTATGTCGTATTTTTTTTATTCCAGCCATTAATTGTCTCGTCTTAACTTCACAAGTAGTTTTCGTTAATAATTATTTAATTAAAGATGCAGTCATTATATTTATCGTAACATTCCTATTATATAAAAATCATGTCAATTCTTAATAATTTTATATGAGAAGATGTGTGTGTGTGTGTGTGTGTGTGTGTGTGTGTAATGCTTATATAATATTAAAACCGATAAAGAAATAAAATAATATCGAAATTGTGACATGTTTCTAAATTTTTTGTCACATGTAATTAAAATCATACAGGCACATATGCAATGTAGGATTAATGTAATATATAATATATAATATTTCTATCGCATTGCAAAAAACAGATCGCATGAATGTGAAAAGTAGAATAAAAATTCTCACTGCAAATGAAGATCCTGCGCGCATGAACCTATCTAAAAATTCGATCGATATGAATCGACTATCCGATAAGCTTTCTCTGATAGTGATGTAATAGATAACAGTCTAACATTTCTCCCAAACATCCAATATTTAATCTGCGTTTTTTGATTGGCGAGGGAGAGAGAAACGTGCCGCCACTTTTCAAAAGCTTTTCGTAATCCTGAATTAATTATCCCATTAAATAATATCAAAAGCACCATCTCTCTCTCTCTCTCTTTCTCTCTCCATGACGGCTTTATTTAGTGGATAACAAGGAAATTTTCTTGCGCGCTGCTGCGAAAAATCTGCATCGAAAATACGAAAGACAAACTTTCTCTTCCGTAGAGCTCGAATAATGCGGCAAGACTTCATTTCCCATTCTGCGCCTTTTCCGAAGCCGCGCGTTCAGGCGCCTTTACCTTCTTCACCCTGCATCGCGATCACTCGTACCCTCTCTCATTGAACTTTCACCGCAGTGTATTCTAGTACGTATAAAAATAAATGCCTTTTCGTGCTACTTGAATAATCCAAAGATTGCCACTCCCTCACGCACAGCTATTCACACCCTTACTTTTACATCTCGACGTAAAGAGGATTGCTTCCATTTTCTGCTCAATTGTTATAGACTTTAATAATATATACCGAAGGATTTCTTTCCCTGCTTGATCTAAATAGCAGTGAGATTTCTTCATTCCCCCGAATAATCACATTACCCATTTCTACTTTCACATTTTCGCGAAAAAAAAAATGTTCTAATCGAGGAAAGAATCCCTTGTTTTTTCATCACCGTGAAAAGATGAGGAATCTTTTACACAAATAAAACTGTCTATTCGAATAATGATAAACCCATTATTCGAGTTGTATTCCATCTTTGTTTTATTTTCTTCGTTTACTTTCCGGAAAGAAAAATAACCGTTGAATTTCCATTGTTTCTTTTGGCTTTTTCGTAAATATAAAAATATTTTCCTATCGAATTTAACATTGTATTATTTTATACGAGACTCTATATCTTTGTCACATTATTCTTACTATATTTAAGATAGTTATTTTCGCGCATTACATTCTTATATTAAATTTCTATCGTAAAAGATTCAATATATAAAAAAATAATAAGTGATCTTCCCTGACATTTATCACTCTCTTGAACAACGACAAGGCAGGATCGTCCTGCGTCGCGCGCTATATCATCCCTCCCGACCCTTCTCGCGGTACGAACATCCAATAGTCTGAATAGCAAGAGCTTTTAGAGACCCTTTTCAACCCCCCCTTCGCCTTTTACGATAGACTCACTAATCATTGAGAAAATTTTGAGATACAGACCATCAGTGTCAACCGCGTAAGCAACGATAGCTGTCACGCATTTCCGCAGTGCGCTCTTTTCACCGGAGGTTCTCCAATCCGACGAGAGGGATGGTCGCGCGTAGACGGGCCTTGGCGGGAATTTTCACGGGGATCGAGGTATTTCTTTTTTTCCTTCTTTGCCCACGGAGAGATCGTATGGAAGAACGGAGACACCCCCCTTCCCCTCCCTGCGGAAGTGGACGCGCGTTTAATACCGATACGATATACGCGTCGCGACGTCCGGCCACCGACTGTCGGCTGCGCCTCGATGGAACGTCGACGCGATACCCGAAGACGTCCGAGGACGACCGACGCGACGGCTCCGACGGCATATATATGCCGGCATATATACGCCACCGTTGGAAATTCGCTGCAATTTCTCCTCTAGGATGCCGAAGGGTTGCATCTGTCGAGATGCGACTTTGCAGCTGTTTCAAATAGAAAGAGGATCTCGACATCTCGTCGCTTCAACGCGAAAGCGTTTTCGGAAGGATCGGAAGAGTCATTCGCCAAGTGCCATGTGATTGTTGATACCTTGATATTCAAGAGTCAACGATACGATATGTTTCAATACGTGATTTCTACTGGGAAATTCATACCTTGTATCATCTGCATTTGTTTTTCTCTCGAGAGAAAGAGAAGCTGATGCAAACAACTACAATTTTTAGATCTTGCTGTAGGTTTATTAATTATAATATGGAATGTGTTTAATGCGTCAAGTGCGTTGAAAATTATGATTTAAAAAAAAAAACTCTAGAAAGAGAGACACCTCCTGTGTCAAGTAGTTACAGCCGTACCTGCACAGACTTATGCATGTTTTTAAGTAGTAGCGATCAATGATGAGTCAGACCATCACACAGACGCGCACATATACATTACTCATTCTAGTTTTCCTTCTTTATGAAGGTGAAATATCGCGTTTGTCGTCATTTTAATTTTTATAAAAATATACATATATATTTACAGATTCAAAGACTTAAAATTCTTGTAATTTTAGAAGGATTAATGGGAAAAAAAAATTTTTAATGATTTGATCTTGATCTACTCAATCTCTTAATATGAAACAAAATATAAAATTTTTGTGTTTTCTTATTGATCAAGATTTTACTTTTATACGCGATCAATATTAATTTCTAGAAAAATTTGATATATCCTGACGAATACACCCATGTCCTTTTCTATAATATAATCTATAATATTCTTGCGATCGCACACAAATTTAAACAAAACTTTTGCCATTTGGCAGAAGTAATCTTGCGCAAAGAATAATTTCGTATAATTGATTCATATTATTCATATATTCATATTATTCATATGTTATTGCTTACTACTAACGTTAGTAATAATGTCATCAGGTAGATCGACTTATTGATTCATCTCTATAAATATTTCATAATGAAATTATCTAGAAGAATACTAAGCAGTATAATATTCTTCTGTCGACTATACCAAACATTTACAAAATACATAATTTTTGCTAACCAAAATTGCTAGTCATACATTATTGACAAATATCGACAAATTAATAAGAATTATTTCCAAATCTGATTTTCATAATCGTTTAAATTAATAAACGAAGAAGGATAAATTTTTTCATATTATATCACGCAAAATTTTTCTTTCTCAAATGCATTTCCGATAATTAAATTTGACGTTTTTTTGAAGAGTAATTAGAATTGCTCATGCTTTGTAGAAAGTAGGTGTATAGATTAAAACATGAGAGAAGCTCACATTTCCCTCGAAATTAACGTGGGACGTGTCGTGAATAAAGTCTAAATTATCCTTCTAAATGTTAAGAGACATTATATATAAGAGCGTCTTCTCACCCTACGCGAGCAAAATATAATTATTTTATTTGTTTAATTTATTTCAGTTATTTCAATGTTGTATATTATTGTAGAAAATTACTCGCGTTGTTTCTTTTTTCAAAATTTAAAGGGCTTATTTAATTTTTATTCATTTATAATATTATATTATTTTATATGAAATTAATCTAATATCATTGATAAGTATTAATGATTTTATAAGTATATTACAGCAAACAGTAAAATTTTATTAAGAATTTTATAATTATTGTCATAATTATAGTCAAACATAAGATGAAGTAGTAAAATGTGAATGTTTTTATCATAGATCAATGAAATAATGTTCGATAAAAATTTGTTACTACTTGAATATTTTCGTTTAAGAGAGTGTGCACACAACCTTCTCTCTCTTTTTCTTTCTTTTCAATCTCTTTAGCGGAGATTCGAACCTTAATAGTCGAGATTCAAACCTTGGACATTTAAACCCTACTTGACCGAGATTTAAAAATTTTAATTTTTGTTCTTTCTTTGCAATTAAGATGGCACTACGATGCATATGATAAATCTGCCAAACGCATCGATTGGATGTCAGATGGTGAATTTCTAGTGTCCTAAAAATTTCTTACGAAAATGACCAATCGGTATGTTCAACAAAGTTTCCTCTCTTTTCTTCTTTCCTCACTCTCTTCCTTTCTCCTTCTCTCTCTTCGCCACTCCCCTCTCGACTTTTCGTTCCCCCTCTCCTTCGTCTTCCATCTCTTACTACCATATGTTCTGTACATATGTGCTTGTGTGTATGTGATTTAAGAATTAACATTTGTCTCATTATAAATGCGGAAAACATGTAAAAAAGACTGTAAATGAGACGAAACTACCGTTGATTAAACTTCTCGCGCAAGTTTCTTTCGTCGTCTTTTTTTCCTTTCAGCGAAGAACATGTATGTTTCATTTGCTAAATTTCAAGTGTAGAAAGTGTAAATAACAGCGACCGTGGCTGTGAGAACGGTGTCTGTGCGCGTGGAAGGAAGAAAGAAAGAAAGAAAGGGAGAGAGAGAGAGAGAAAGATTCATTACAAAACAAGACCCGCGCGCGTGCTATACATAAAGCAGAAGAACATAAAGCAACATAAAGATGGAAGCGATGGATACGACGGTGAGTCCGCATCCGAGAAGAATGCACAATAGTTACGAGGATGAGGAAGAGCGGAAACACTTTCAAAGGATCGTCGCCGCGTTCAGATATTACAAGTGAGTGTCCGACGAGAGAAATAGGTCGATGCCAATCCCCTTATCTGTCCTCTACGAGCTCCTCTGTGTTCTTTTCTTGTAATGAACACTAACGAGAGACCGGTTTGATGGAGTTAAGAAAACTTGTCGCTTATCGAAGTTACATCAATCTCCATGAAGAGACATTCGCCAGAGATCTTTCGCTGTATTAACAATTATTTATTATTAAAAGAAAATCTTAATCTCTGCAAGTTACTATTATTCATAGAAATCGTCCTTTATAATGTATGAAACTCTATAAATAATATTTATCAAATTACATAGTATGAATTTGCTACAATAAAAGCTTCACGCTCTTATTCATTTATAATCTTTTTTTTTTTTCTTTGCACAGAACACACTCTCTGCTACGGGTAAGAAAAACGGAATCCTACTTTCTCAATCTACCAACGCATCATCAGAAACTTTTATCAAAGTACAAGGAGCATTTACAAGAAGTAAAACGATGCATTGAGAATAATGATCAAATTATAAAACTTATAATAAAGGATGTAGCCCATATATTTGAAAATGTATGCCCATCTACTGCGCAGATTGACAGCGTAAGAGATATTTATCTCTGTAATACTATATATATAATATTAGATATTTATCTCTTTAATACTTTATTTGTTAGATAATCTAATACTTTATTCGTTGGATAATCAGATTGTAAATATAAGTTTATATATTAAATATAAACTTATATTTACAATCTGATTATCCAATACAATTTTATCAATATCATTTATGTCATAAACAACATCTTAAAATATATTAATCATTTTTGTTATTTAAATTTTTCAATGTTTTACACATATATTTTTACAATAGTATTCCATTGAAATAAATTTATGATTGCAGATATTAAATCCACGGTCTGTTATGGCAGATCAAGAGAAAGTTCAAGCCACCATTAGGCAATTGGTTCGGGATTGGAGTGTGGAAGGTGCCGAAGAACGAAAAGCATGCTATCAACCAATCATAGACGAAGTATTATATCAATTCCCATTAGAACATTGGTATGATAATCTATAATTATTGTGTAAGCAATTACTCTTAATATATAAAAAAAAAATAGAGAAAAAACAAAGGAAACTTACAAAATGCTTCAGAGATTTTAGGCGATTGTTCTTTTGTCACAGAGTTGTATTTAATAAAATGGACAGACGTTTGACAATGAGAAAATTGCAATTCGACTTAAAATCTTTAAGATGTTACGGAAGCTTCCCTTGTTAAATTGCATTACAACATTGCAATTTAAGAGAAAGATATTGAATACATTGAATACATTTTTAGTACGCCTTCGGACGTGCATATTTTAGTACCTGGCGCAGGACTGGGTCGACTCGCTTTCGAAATTGCGAAACGCGGATACACTTGTCAAGGAAATGAATTTTCCTTATTTATGTTGTTTGCATCAAACTTTGTATTAAATAAGTAAGTGATAATAATATATAACAACACTGAAAAAAAAATTTGAAAATTTACCAAAAAAATATTCTGTTGTAGTACGTTGTTGTACTGAACTCTCTGTTTTGATGATTTGAATAAGCTTTGTTTACATCAACAAATTATTTCGGAATATCTTAGTTATATTTATTTCAACATATCTGACAATATATTTAGTTGGGCAAAATAAATTTTGCCTTTTTCAACCAAAGTTTTTTTTCAGTGACTAATATATAATAATAATGCTTATCGCGCGATTTTTCATAACTTTTTTCAATATAGATGTAGGGATGTAAACTTGTATCAAGTACATCCATGGGTACATCAGTACACAAATAACTTGAAACCGGAACACCAAACACAAGCGGTTTCTTTTCCCGATGTAAGCCCAAGCGATCTTCCGGGAACGGCGCAATTCTCTATGACTGCGGGTGATTTTCTAGAGGTAAATTAAATATAAAATGTAAGATTGTAACTGTAATAGTAAGATTATTTAATAAAATCGACATAAAATTTATTTTAGGTTTATACGGAAGACAATCATTGGGATTGCGTCGCGACATGTTTCTTCATAGACTGTGCCAATAATGTTGTGCAATTTATCGAGACAATTTATAAAATTCTGAAACCAGGCGGAATTTGGATAAATCTCGGACCGCTATTATATCATTTTAGCGATTTACCGAATGAAGAATCGATCGAGCCGAGTTACGATTCGATCCGTGACGTTATTCTAGGTTTTGGCTTTCAATTGGAGGTAATTTTTTTTCCCTTTTTTCTTTTTTTTAAATATTTATAAAAGTAGCATTTGTATATTTTTTCAGAAGGAAAAAATACAGGTGAAAACTCGTTATGCTCAGAATATTAATAGCATGTTACAATGCGAATATAATAGTGTATACTTTGTATGTCGAAAACCTCATGAACCTGATACCATAAATCGGAACGGCGCTGCAAGTAATGGTGCGCAAGAACAAGAGAATTGAATAAAGCAAATTATTTTACATGTGAAGAGAAAAGAGAGAAAAACATATTGAACGCTGAAAAATTATTATTTAAGTGCACTCGAATTTCTCAGACTGTGGAAATAGTTCTGCGACTGCATAATACATAAGACTTATACTTTTTCTTCTTTTTTTATCCTTATTTTGTCAATTTATTCAAGACTCATTACAAACAAGTTTTCAGTGGTACTATGATAGATTGTGGTTTCAGTATTTTTACAAAAGCAATAGCCATTTTGTAAAATTTATCAATGTACCATAACTCCAGAGATATCTAATCTAGGTATATTTTGTTCATTGTATTATAATTGAAATCAAAAGTATATACTCTGACAAAGGTTTAGAAATATTTAAAAACCAGTGATTCTCATATATAACTACACACACATATATACATACATCATATATATATATATATATATATATATATATATATATATGTATATATATATTTATTTAAACACACATATATATATAAAATATATAATATAATTATATTATAAAATTATATTATATATAATTTTATATATATATATATATATATATATATATATATATATAAAATTGTACATTGTACACACATGTGCAAGCAATGTTATTACGTATGTATGTGTGTGTATGTGTGTATGTAAAATAATTATATTAAAATTAGAAAATGAAACAAATATGTATACCTAATACATTTTTCTGCTTTGTTATAAGTTTTTATTAAGATATTGTACAAATAGTGCGGCAATTTGATCGATTCCACTTTGCTGCATTTTACTATAAGTTAAAAACTGTCTCCGTAATCTCATTAGTTTTGCTGGTGTGCCTGTGCATTGTACAGTCACATTAGACCCTGGTATCTTTATGTCATTGTTTATTCCCAGTCGTTGCGCCGATAATATTGCCTTTGATGGAAGAAAAATATGTATTTATCATTAGCGTCTATCTTCATAATTATTTTACAAACCTTATAATACTTTATATATATATATATTGTACTTTATATATATATATTTATATATATTGTACAATGAACACAGTTTTAGAAACAAAAAAGAAGGCGCAAGAAAAATATGACTATTATGCTCTATATTATATGACTATATTCTATGATGCTGATAATATATGACGATGAATTCTTTTTGCCATTGCCATTGCTATTGTAAATAGATATATGAAATCACTTACGTTTATTACATCTTTTGTTATTGTATCTAATTCGTATAAATAATTCGTAGATGCTAACGGTGGCTGAAAATATAAATGTTTATGTAAAATATTGAAGAAAAAAAGAAAATACTGAGGAAAAAAAAATACTAACACATTGGGTACTTTGATTTGGTTTTGGTGATTTGACTTCATATAACGATTTATAAATTTCATTACACATTAATTCATCCTCTGATGTAATTGCAAAAAGTGGATAATCCCATCGATTTTTACTATCTGGTATTTCGTATCTATTGAAAAATTAAAATTTTTAAATTTATTTCAAGGGAAACTTCTTGAGATATTTCTTATAATTATTCTTATTACTGTGCAATTACCTTACTACAAGTGAATCAAAGATTTCTCTATTATATCGATCTGACTCAATTCGTTTATCGTTCCACAACCAAGCGCACTCGACTGGTAAATCACAGTATATTGTGCATTGAGGAGTCTTGTATAATTTGGTCATGCAGTAAAGTTCATACCGATATCCTTTGATGTAATTGCTGCCGTCAAATATCAGTAGATCGCGTGTATTGAGCCTACGTTGAATGTCGGATTTTATAGCGCTTCTGACAGCTTTTTCCTTTTTGGAATCTGGACACGATGAATATATCATTTAGGTTCAACAAGTCAATTTGAATATTTGTAAAATTATCAAATTTTATCCTAATTTCCATTTTGTTTTACCTGCGTAAAATACATTTCTATCGTAGCCTGCTTTAATTATCGCATCGTGTTCGCTAATTATTTCCACATTTTGTCCACTATCCTTTAATTTGTCCTCGAAATATTTCTTCAGTTCAAGACTTCTCGTCGTTTTACCACTGCACGGGCCACCAGTTACTATTATCAATGGCATTTTAACATAATATAATAATTATCTGAAATATAAATAGAGGAAGTTTCTTCACGTGTAACACATGTCATTAGACTCCAAGTTAAAACGGTCGATAACGTCACTGTTCTTCAATAACCTACGAGTCAACAGATACTTGATAATTGAATGAATTTAACGCACTCATGGAGAGAAAAGGAGTTGACCATCTCTAATAATTTTATCCGTGACTTTAATAATCTATCTGAGCGCCGTCTATAGATGACATGTGTACTTCAATCACGAATATGTAGAATGAAAACAAAAGTGTCAAACCATTTTCAAATATTTATGTATATATATATCAATTGTTCAGAGAAATCGAAATAATACAATTTGCACATAAAATGGCTGAGAACGAATTTGTATCCGATAGTGACGAGTGTCTTGTTACAGAAGCTATCAATTTAGATATCGAGGAGGTACTTGTATGTGTATATTTGACACAACAGCGGTTATCTATGCAATAAATTTGATACATAGTGTAAAACACTTTACACTGTACAAAAATTGTAATCTTATCGAGTGAATTAAGCTATTTTTGTTATTTACATTCTTATTTGATATTATATATTTGATTAATAATGTGAGTGCACCGCGTTCTTTTTTTATAACATAAATGATAATATTAAATTTATTATAATATAAATGATATAAATATAATTTACTTCGATATTATTTTAGCTCCCGATAATAATTTTGTACCGGTTTTGTAGTTAGATAATATGGAATATGCTATACCAGCTGTGGAAGAATTACCCACCTTAGAAAGTATACTGATGGAACCTGATTATGAATCGCCATCGGAAACAGATGATGATGTCGGTATACCATTAGGAGAGAAACTTGGTAGCAGTGAGACAACCAGCATTGGCAGTCATTTATCATTAAATTCATTAAATAAATCTTCTAAAACCTCTCAGAAAGCATTCTCGGGTGTCATATTAAGACATGTTATACTCAAAGGAATAACATCACAAATTGTATCAGCCAATGTAAGCAATTATTCTTTTCGTTATGCAAAAAATATTATAGGGCTCATATTTTTTCAAATTAAAAATGTTTAAGTTATTACATGCCGTTGAGATACTTGAATATCTTGCATAAGGGAATCATCATTCTTTAATATGATTTATATTATTCAGGAAAGAGTCAATGCTGGTTTAGCTAGTGCGGTTGCAGCTGGAGGAAACATGTTGGTGATTGGTACTAGCCATGGTCTAATATTGGGTTTTGACTCTTCCCAAACATTACGATGGTGCGATCAAGAAGCGAGAAATCAGGGTTCCGTTTCTGCTCTTTGCTTCAATTATGAAGGCAGCAGAGTGCTAGCTGGTTTTGTCAGAGGACATATTTTAATGTTAGATAGTAGTAATGGAAAAGTTTTAAGAATTCTCACTGATGTGCATCCACTTGATACTGCTGTGTTGCATGTTAAGGTATATTCCACATTAGTGTATGCATATGTATTATATATCGCTTCTTTAATTTTTTTATCTAATTGACAGTTTGAAAATACCTGTTTTAGTTTACAGATTCACCAAAAATAGCTCTATGTAGCGATAGCGGTGGCTCAGTATTTGAATTGAATTTTACTAGAGTAATGGGTGTAAGAGGTTGCGACAGTAGATGTTTGTTTAGCGGTTCTAAAGGAGAAGTATGCACTCTGGAGCCCTTGTTATTGAATCATCTGCCGTCGCATCCATTGAAAAATTACACATTAGTAGCAATGGCAACGTTATCAAAGGTCAAAGATTAACAATTTTACAACAGATTTGAAAATACATATCAATTATATAAATATGTATATATTATCTTATTTTGCAGGTAATTGTAGTTTGCATAAGACCGCGAATGCGCGTTGTATTGAGTCACTCGTTAACCGGTGCCCCAACAGCACCTCCACAACTATCTTGGCAACTAGTTGTCATACAGACAGCTGATGGGTCTCGTGTGATCGACCCAGTATTGGCACTTGCAAGAGACAGTGTGGTGCATTTTTACCAAGTATATTGCCATATTTAACAATTATACTATTTTGTTTTTATTAGGAATTACCGAATTAAAAAGAATATTATCTATCGATAAGGTATACAGCGAAATTGGTTCGCGAGTGAAATTATCACCTCTTCGGAGAATGACGCTGCCGTATATGATAACCAATTTGAGGTGGTTAAATCCGAGATCTCTCATAGTACTGGACAATCAAGAAAAGTTGCATTTGTTGGATGTAAGAGCACAAGATAATTTAGAAACGTTGGATATGAGTCGCGTTGGTATATCTTATGCTTCTAGTCATTTTAAAGGATTGTCTACCGGCGGAAATGTTTCCAAGGTATGCAAGATGATGAGACAAAAAAATTTATATATAACTTCTTGCTGTCTTAAGTATCATATGAATGAAATATGCGTAATCTCTCTTTTAGGCAATGGCATTAGCTGGCGAACGCGCGTGTTACAATACTGTTATAGTCTTTGGTACACAGTTACTGTTATTAGGTACAAAGAGTTTACATGTGATTTGTATAAGAACATGGACAGAAAGATTGCAACATTTAATTATGCAGGTCAGTTTAAGAAAACTATGAAAAACATTCTTTCAACTTTGAATAAATTATTTTCTTATATTCCAGAAACGTTTTCCCGAAGCTTTAGCATTGGGTCTTTCCTTTTATCAAGACAAAGGCAAAGCAGTTATTGGCCTTCGTGGTTCTAAACAACGTCGCAAACAAATAGCACGCGATAAAGTTTGCGAAGTGTTGATTCAATATATGGAGGAGTTGAATCAATGTTTAATGGACGAAAACACAGATTATGATACAATAGTACTCACTTGTGTCGATTATTGCATTCAATTGGAGAATTTAGATTTGCTGTTTGGAAAATTATGGGACATAGTTTTTGAGTCGGAAGGACTAAAAACGAGTTACTTGCACGCTCTCGAGGCTCCTCTGCTAGATGGAAGTCTTCAATCGAAATTACCACCATTGATCGCTCAACAATTAGTGACTCTTTATGATCAAGAAGACAAAGTAGAATCGCTAGAGTCAATCATAGTTTTGCTCAATGTGGATTGCTTAGATATTCACCAAGTAAGTTCAACATTTAGGAGTGTATTCAGTTGTGAAAAATTGGAACAGTACTTTTAATTACATGTGAAAAAACTTTCTAATATGATTAAAAAACAATTACATTTCCGCCTGTGTAGGTGACGACAATCTGTCGTCAGCGAGGGCTTTGGGAAGCGCTCATCTATCTTCAGACAACAGCACTGGGAGATTTTACAGCTCCCATTCATCAGTTGGTGCCGGTACTTCAAAATTTATTGCGCGACCCAATAACAGTCCCTTCTCGAGACTGCATAAAACTCGGCAATGCCATTTTGGTTTATACCAGTTGTTGTCTTGCTGGCCGTGGATTTCCCAAGGATGAACTTCCTGAAGGCATACCGCAGAAGGCGAAAGCGGACATATTGAGAGCCCTGCTCTCTCAACATTCCAGTCTCGCGAACGATACAGAGAGGCAATATCCATACCTGAGAACGTTACTGCAATTTGACGCGAAGGGCTTTCTCGATGTCATAGCCATCGCGTTTCAAGAGCCAGAATTCACCTCCGAAATGGGCCTTCGACAACGACAAAGACTCATAGACATTTTATTGAGCATTGTTATGTCAAATACACCGCTTACTCCAAAGAATATTGATTACATCACAACCGAGCAACAATTCATGGTTCTTATGTTTGTGGCAAATGAAGTGTCGGAAAATACTATCATATTAGAATCTAGTACATTGAAAAAGATGATAGATATATTGTGCATCGATTCGCACGTGGAACTGTCGAAAGATTTTAAGACTGAGAGAGAGAACGCCATATTGGGATTACTACATTCTAAGAAATTGTGCAACATTTCTGACCACACTTTATTAAATTTAGCAAATAGAGCAAGTTTGTAAGTATATATCATGTTTTAATACGATGGTCATATGATCTATAACTTTTTCAATGTGTCTTATTTTCAATGTTCGATTATTTATATAGTCATATGTTATCTTTGTGTTGCAGTATAAGAGTCGCAGAGTTATTATACAGTGCGCGAGAGGATTGGATAGCAGTATGCAAATGTATGATGATGGATGCTTCTAGGCATCATGATATATGGCCCTGGCTCGAGAATTTACCGATCGCTTCATTGGACCAAGTTGTATCGATTCACGCTTCGACTCTCGTGACGATTAATGCCAGTCAATTTGCTACGATCATCGCGACGCGGCTGCAAAACAAAATTAATGTGATATTGCAAAGTCTTGACAACAATTTAAATTTAGAATATAAGCTGTTAGAAGCATTGTATCAAATTACGCAATATAAGGAGGAAGATGTTTCTCTAGAATTAACGACTGAACACTTGGAGAGATATTTGGCGTTAATGTGTGAATTGGAACCGAAATGCGTAGTCGCTCATTTACGCGGGCCGCATGGCTGTAGATTGGACGAGGCATTAAAGATTGTTCAAAGATGGAATTGTAAGGACGCGGAGGCGGTGATGTTGGAGAAATTGGGAAATTATCAGGACGCGTTTAATCTTCTGTTGAAGGAATTTAAAAATCAACTGGAGATGTATCGACTGGATGAAGCTTCGGAAAGCGAGACGGTACACGCTGCTGCGCAGCTCGCGGGAATATGTCGAAGATCGGCGGGCAATCTGGACTGGATGCCCCTCGTAGAAACTGCGTTTCGGTCGCATTCGGAAAATAATAAACAAAAAATGGATAAATTGAGCAGTAAATTGTTGAGATTAATTCTAGAATCTTTGAGCGGTACATCGATACTCTCCAACATATTGGAGCAAATCTTGAGAAATCCATTAGCGACGAGCGGAACGATGGGCGATATACGGCAATTATTGTCCGGAGTCCTTATTCAGTCGCGATACGAACAAATCCTGGTCGAAACTACCGCGCGATTAGTAAGCTTGGAACTTCACAAGGCTTTGGAAAAATCCTTGAGGTACCGATAATCCTAAAATTAAAACGAGAGAGTATGTAATATATGTAGTATGATATATTAGTTTATAATAGAGTACGAGAGCTCATAAAGTTTCACAATGAATCAAACTGAAAATAATAGATATTCGAGAGAGTTTCTTACTATAATGGACCAATAATAAAAAGTAGAAGGGGTGTTTTTTGTTTAAGTTAAGCGACAGAAAGGAAATGGAAAAATAATGCGATTCTGCCCACTTAGAAAGATTTACAATGAAACAAAAAAAACAAATTTCCACGCCGCATATACAAGTTTAATAACAATATATAATTTTTTTTTATTGCTCAGGGACGCCGGTAGAGCATGCGGCACTGTTTCTGTAACTTGCCCTGTATGCAGACAACTGTTATCACATTGTTCCGATCATGCAGTGGTATTCAGCTGTGGTCATGGATATCATTCAGCATGTTTGGGCGAACCTAAATCGTGCTACAAGTGCTTGAACGTAAAAGGATGGGCACCTGTTGCCACCAACTTTGTCATTCCGGCGTCTCCGCCTTCGGTTAGTAACGCATCTTTATATTTTTTGGATACTTTTACGTTATTTCGTTACGTCTGCTTTTTTTTACAGAGGAAAAAACAGCTTCTTCCGCCAGAATTCCTACGTCATAGAGACCTCACGCTAAGACTAGCACCGTCCTGTCCTACCCCCGACCTCGAGGGCATCTTTTAATCTAGTCTTTGACTATATATAGTGAGAGAACGACGATCGCATTTGTGAGCGGTATGTAGTATCTTTAAGATACCACAAAAATATATGAATGTGTACATTATACACGCGCTACGTATATCGGATCTGATTATACTATGATCATTCAGTCTGCGATATCTTGTATAGTATCAATAAGAGAGATTATTAAGATTCATTTCTTGAGATTTTATTTGTTTAATGCGCGCTGGTGTTTCTATACACGACACACAGTTATGCCAAATATACAAATTATATTATTAAAGTACAAAATATTTATTACGGTTGCATTTATATCGTATCGTATTTAATCTTTTGTGCTATAATGCTATTATATACTCTGAGTTATGTAGTTTCTACGATCGATATCGGAATGTCTGACTTGCGTTTGGTTTTAATAATGAAAACTGGTTTCCTAGGCGCATTATCCATTAATACGTGATACGGATCCATAGGTTCATTGTCTAATAATTCACCGGTAAGGAGTTTCGTGACAATTGCAAAAACATCCAATTTCGAACATTCGGATTTGTCGATGGGCGATATTTCGACGGTAGAAATGTACGCGTCTATAGTGGATTCTAACTTGACAAGGAATGGAATCAACTTTGATATAGCTAAATAATTTTGTAACTGCAAATTAAGCAAAAAGATGTATGATGATTGTGTAATTTCGTTTAGAAAGAACGTTTCTATATAGGCGCGTATAGTATATATTTCACAAGTTTTTCTTATATAACATACTAAAAATATATTAAATCTTAAAAGCATTTATTATAAATACGTGCCTTATCGTCGCATCTTTCTAGATTGCTTAACAAATCTTCAGTTTCATTTAGCAAGGCGTAACATTTTGCGAGATGCTCACGATCGTATCCATTTTCGTAAATGTGCAATGATTCTCTTGTTAAGGATTTCTCTTTCTTTATCCTTTCAAGGAGCAACGACAACGGTATTCCCGATAGGGTGCGACTAGCCATTCGAATTTTGGAACATTTTTCACAGATCTGTATAATATTAATATATCAATATTATATTAATTAAAATTATAATATATAATTAGAGCAATATAATATATATACAATTTGTTTTATATAAATTAATTATAATATTAATATATATAAAACAAATGTAAAAGTAAATTATAGAGAAGTATATACCTTACCTGTTTATTAGCGGAAATCCATAAACCGGTAATCCCATTTATAAATTTTTTAAGATCATTACTTGCAGTGTAATTCTCGGATAAATATAATAACGAGTGGAGTTTATCAGTCACATTACACGATAGTTTACCGAACCATTCGAGCTTGTCGCGAAATCTAAGATCAATGTCCGAATTGTAACTTTCCGTTTTTAGAAGATTCACCTACATTTTAAAAAATATATCACCAATATTTTAAAATGTGATATCATTTTTGTTCGATAATTGATGTAACAATTCGAACAGTTAAAAAAAATGAAACATTTTATATGTATATATTCCGATATTTATACATAAAATTATTAATTTACATTTTTTTCGAGAATTTGCACAAGTTCGTGAATCGAGACAATGTTGGTCGCCATAGTAATATTCATAAAAAAAAAAATTGATCTATATATATATATCTTCTCTTGGCGAACTTTTTGTTAAACAAATGTATTCCATAGCCAACTGGACACTATGAAAATTTCGATAGTCTTCTTATTCCAAAGGATAATATATTCAGTTGTTTTTTCTTTATTTTTTTGTTACCAGCTTATGTATATATATAATATAAACGACGTTTTCTTTATACATGTAAATACATACATAAATCTAGCATTGGTTTGCTTGTGTAGATCACTTTATATAACGTCGCGCGTTAATTTCGTCGATATACATTTTTTTGTTTGGCTAATGTCTTTTGTTCGGATAATGATGTAATGAGGTATCATAGGAATTTAATTGGAAATTGACTCTCCTTCTCGTATGTCGCTTAAAAAATTAACTTATGACTTTATAACTTTTACTGTTAATAGTGTAATTTCTTAATATTACAAGCGTTCCCGCACTTACCATAAGTAATGTACATATTGTTACATACTCGATAGTATTAATTGTCGTAACACTAAATATCATTTATTTAATTATACACAGCTTATCTTAATAATCGCAGTAGAAACACTTAAAAACATGTTTAAACTCGCACTTGCTGACAAATATATGTGCTAATTAATTGTAATTTATATAGTAAAAGAAATAGCGCGCACGATATATTGCCATCAGAAATCGCTGATTGCTATCTGCTCATCACTTTGTTTCAAAGCGCTACTATAATGAAATCAATCATCATAGTTATTTCATAAAATGATTATCTCCCTTAATGTCGTTTTTAATAGGGCAGGGAGGGGGGAGCGAGCAGAAAAGGGGGTATCTTTATCAAAAAGATAGGGCAGGACGGATTATTACATATATAATTAAAAAAATGTATTCTAAATATTTTGTATATTCCAAAAAGAAAATCAAGAAAAATTGATTTTACGACTTAAATTCCATATATTCTAAAATTTAAAGTGACTATAACTTTTTTCGACATTGCAACAAAGTTTTATCAACATATTTATTGCCGATAAAACTTTTATGCTATTTTGTCACGAGAAGTATAACAGAAAGGAAGAAATTTTTATATCTGGATTCTCTAAAATATAATCTAACAAAAAACTTTTCATTTAATAAATATCAGTATATATATATATATAAATTACACATATATGTGTAATTTGAAATTTTATCAATTTAGATAACAATTGTTGCTATTCAGTTCTTACGTCATTTATTTGTCCTAAAAGATAACTGCATGACTCTATGATAAGCTGTATTAAATAATATACAATCAAGTTCATCAATTTACGTTCACAATTTATATTCACACTGGCATGTAAGATTTTCACTCTTCAAAATCTCATTTAGTTGAATTCAATGATGAATATGTATCTTAAAATTACAATTAGTTATTCGCACGTATTTAGGGTTAGAAAAAAATTAGAGTTTTCTATAATATTTCACGTTGAACACAAATTGGTACAATTGGCGATACTCATCCCCCATAGATTGCTTCTTATAATAGAAGCGTGTGTGTACCAAACTTATGCAGCAGAAGCAAAAAATGCCACGAGTCTCAGGAACATGTACTATGTTGCTTGAAACGTGAATATGAATCATTATCTTCAATATGTCAATATATATCAACTAAAACCCGATAATTCACTGTTGAAATTCTGTTCAACAGTTTATTTCCAATCTTGTGATGAAAAATGATATTTAGCAAGTAAAAATCAATGTTACACAGGTTATTACACTGATTCTCTGAATTGTCCACATAGAGCCTAAAATCTTTTACCATTGCCTACACTCACGTCCATCATTGATGTCGCGAGCACGAGCGATATCTATAGATATCTATGAGAAGAATATCTATAATGCGGCGGTCTTCCATAATTGTTTCCGTGTCGCTGTCGCATATAAGTCGTGTTATAATAATGTCTTCGATGATAACCATTAACTCCAGGTCGATTCCAGGATTTGTTGTTTTGGTTGTTGTGGTTATTGTGATATTCTTGGAATGAATTATAGTTTGCGTTAGATCTATCATTGTACGATCGACGGCTCGAGTGATCCTTGACTTTCTTTACGCGACCCCTATCCATTTCTTCATCATCCGCATTAAAATGACGTTTACGTTCTTCCCGTCTATCGTTATCGACATCACGATCCAGCTGCGTTCTATTCCCATTCCAGTTGGTTACTAAAAATTCACAAATTTATAATTGTTGACCTTTTAATATTTAAATTTTATTATTTTACAATTAAATTTTGTTACCATGCTTACCAGAAGTACTACCATATCCACGATGCGACATCTTTAATAAGTGTGAAACTGTGTCCGAGCGATTGGTACCGTTAAAGTCTCGCACAGCTGCAGCACTCGGTGTTGTATTATTTTGATTTAACTTGGCGTCTTCCCTGGAATAGATGTATTGGAATTTTTCTCTATATTACATTATTTCTCTCATTATATTAATCTTCATGTAAGTAGATTTACCCGTTATCAGTCCATCCATTAGACGATCCAGTGAATGTGGAAGAAAATGGATCCTTGGAAGCTTGCCAACTCTTAATGCCGCTACTCGTAGCCTTTGTAGGTACATTCTCTTCATGTCCGTTTTTAGTTCTGCCAGTAGATTGGCGCCACGTATCCTTGTCACGTTGTTCCGACTGACCGTTTGTTTCTATTCTTCCATTTTGATGTTTTAATAAACTTATTCGGCCATTACTATTATTAGATTCATTTTGCGTTTTCGTACATTGTACAATTGTAGCTTGAGGTGTCATTGTCGATATGCCATTACTTTTAGAGTTGGTAGAGTTGGTCTTCTGTGCTTCTTTAGAATTTGAGGTGGTTTTTAATCCATCTTTCGCAGCGACACACTTTGACATACCATTTGTGATATTGATTCGGGACGCAGTATTATTTGACATTTGATTTTTCAAAGTCCCTATCCCAGTGGAAGGGTAACTGTCTTCCTCTTCACTGGAAGTAGGATCTACGTCATAGGGTACTAAACTGTTACCATTTAAAACTTTCCCATTCTTAATATGCATCACCAATCTTGGCTGCGACTTGTCTTGCATTTTCTGCGATGATTGTATATTAACGGTGTCGTTAGACTTTTCTAGAGGAAGATTTAATTCTACGCCGTTTCTCTGCGGCGGCAATTGCGGACCGATCAATGTTCGAGATTTGCTCGATTCATCATTGTTTGACGATTCGCTTTCATTCGCGGAGCATTCTGCAGATGTCGATGCCTTTAACGCGATAGATTTATTTATTATAGAATTGGATAGTGGCGTAGTCGACACGATATTCTTCACAGATGTCGTACCGTTCACTTTTGCCGTTGATGGCGAATTCTGATTGTAATTTTCCATCTCGAAGATCATAATGTACGCATTTGTACTTAACACATTATTAAGGCTTATTGGACGAACGCAACAGTCGTCGAAGGAATAATATTGACCGCTCGATACTTGGGCGATCGCCGTATAATGGCCACAATTTACAGAGGGGCCCATGTGCGTCACCATCGACATGAGTTTGTAGGTAAGCGGTCTGGGAGATTCTCCCGGTTCTCTCCACAAGTACGGGCTCATATCTATAGTTTGTTTAAAACCAATGTGTCTAGATATTTTTCCTCCTAAAACGCTAAATCGCTTCAATTGTACGCACAATACTTTTGGCGGGCGTTCCAATGTAAATTGTTTAGTGGCAGGAACTCTTCTCTTACAAGCTTCACATTTATAATCATTGTTATCCAATTGTTCTCTACTGAAGTAACTATTTAACGCTTCGTCCAATGTATTCGCCTTACGTATATCCACGAGCAAATCCTGTTTTAAAATTTGTATAAATATTTACAAACATCATATACAAGAATCCCTGTACTTTTACAATGCTACTCTCTAAAAGTGAATCAGTGTATTATCACTGTAATCGGTGCTGTACTTATAACTGCTTGTAATCAGTGAATATTTACTGTTTTTCAGTGATAATACACTGATTCACTCTAGTGAAAGTAGCACTACTTTCACTAGAATGAATCAATGTATTATCACTGAAAAACAGTAAATATTCACTGATTACAAGCAATTATAAGTACAGCACCGATTACAGTGATAATACACTGATTCACTTTTAGAGAGTATAAGAATTATATATATCGTCTTACCTGAAAATGTTGAAATGTGGTAGATACATGTTGACATTGCAGGCACTTTACTTCAGTACGTATATAACCGCCAAATATTTGATTGATTGGTGTCGTTTCCTTAGAATAGCTATCCAATTTAGTCGCTTTATGCCTAGTTAAATACGTACGTTCCATTCCTTCCAATAAATAACGTAAAAATTCGTGAGCATCTTCTTGTTGTCCAGGCACCATAGTTCGGCAAATGACTGAAAATATTATTTCTGTTATAACTGTCTATCTTATATCTATGCGCATACTCGGCTAGATAATTGTAAGGGAAATACTTACGCTTTAATTTATTAAATATATAAAATGGCTTGATCGCACCCCCAGATTTCTGATGACTAAATTGCAGAGTCTTGGCCACCGCGCATGTAAGGCATTCTCCATTTCCATCTAAAATTATCCTATTATCAAAACACCATACTATGCCATTATAACTTTATATTACATTTTCCATGTAGAGCATGGAATATAAATAAAATAACATATTAAAACAAAGTGAAAAAATTTACCATTTTGTTCCATCTTGGAATTATGATGCGGATCCGATAATAACCAGTTGACAAGAGCCGGAACATGAAATAACGCTTGAAGAGTACTATTCAGGTAACATGTATTCCCGATATTGTACATGCCTGCTCCGACTGGGAACGTGCCTTTCCATCCCAGCTGGACTTTTTTAGGAGAATATAAAGTGACAGTTGGCTCTGGCAAGACTGGTCTTTTATTCGCATCATTCTTTTTTTTATAACTTGTGCCGTCCTTGACTTTGCTCTCTTCTAAATTATCGGATAAATTGAGAAAAATGTTGCAATTAGCTTGCACCTGATTCGCTGCTTGATAATCCTTTAATTCTTCGTAACGGATCTCCGTTTGCATAATTCGAGAAGCGTTGCCGACTAATTCAATCGACAGATCGTCTGTAGTTTTAGACGAAGTGCTGTTCAAAGCGCAGTGGAGTCTAGCCACAATAGGATCGCAGACGCTGACTGCAGGCATTTTAATGTATCGTTTGAAAATTTCCTTATTTATCAATCACACAGACACACCTATAAAAAGATATTAATGTTGAATTCATTGATTGCATTAATGAAACAAATTAGAAAGAAACCTCGCATAACATAATCCAAGTTTCATATTTACATTTGAACTAAAACGAAGCTGTTACATATGCGAGTAAAAATTGTACAGCAAAAGGATTAAATAAAAGACTAATATATAAAGAATAAAGTATAATCCAGCAATTATCAAACATATTTATGTGCAACGTGTAATAGTAAAAAAAATGGATTACGCTACAAATCAAAGTTCTATTCATAATCGCGCGTATTCAAGGAACATAGCTACTAATAAGGACCACATGCGACAGATAACGCGTGAAATAAATCGTTGTTTATACCTACCCTCGGCAATATATGGATGCTCGAATAATTACTATCGTCGAGAAAAATACCGACAGGAATCCGACGTTGATCCCCTTCGAATTCCGACGACGGAATCGCTATCGATTCATCACACATACGATAACGCGCGTTTACCCGTCTCCAACGCGGTTACCGGAGTCCCCCCCGTCACGAGCGGATTTCCCGCGTGCGGCCGTTTATTATATCTCGTACTTAAATTTTACACGTCCTCACGTCGCGCGAAACGATACCCTCTTTGATACCCGAGCGAACCGACGCGCCGATCATCACATATCGATCGTACTTGACGATTTTACGCTCGCTCGTGTCGGACACGCGGGAACGGGAGACGACATACTCACGTACACCGCGATCGCGACAGCCATTTGCATTCGCTATCCGAAGAACGGCTTCCCTCGCGAGCGGCGCTCGCGCGGCTGCACTTGCACCTACACTCTACACCTCGTAGGACGCGCGAGTGCGCGGGAAAATCGCGCTCGAAATGGTTCCGGCCGGTTGACAGCGATGACAGGACGTTAGGCTCGAATCACGGCTGGAATTCTTTAGCGGATCGCGAGAGAATGTAACGAATTTAAGCGATTATTGCGCGTGCTTGTGTAATTAATCCTTCTTCATGGAACACTTGAGGAAGAAACGCGATCTTTCAAATGTATTTCTCTTTTTCTGGCTGGCACTTAACCTATCGATGGCTCCATTCGCAAAATACAGCGGTCGACTGCTCGCCGTTCGCTGATTGGCCTATACTTGTGGATCGGCCAATCGGATTCGCCCGACGACAGCCAATCGGATTCAAGTGCCGTGTTTTCTGAACGGTTTGAATTTTGCGTCTCTCGCTCTCGCTGCTGTGTAACGTTTTTGACATGTTACAATGTCTAGGATATTCCGACGAAATCGCGAAATGTAAATTGTTGTAATAGCGCAGGATCGAAAGAAGCGAGCAAGACGCGTAGTTTTCACAGAAGGGAATTGTTTATTGACGTTTAGCGCGCTGATAAGATGTTGCATGTCGAGCGGGCTGCCACCGATCCCTTGGACGCGTAGTTTGCTCTAACCTTTTATATTTGTCACCTGAATTGACAAATTCAAGTCTTTGATTTATCCTAGAGCCTCGAGGTGAATTTGTTACGTCGCTCTCGCTTCCGTTGATTGCTACGCGAAATCGAAGACATGTCTGACAAGTTGGCCGAATCGGTAGAAGACGACAACTCCGTTACGATGCTCGATGTTCTCCAGGTGGAAAATCAGCTCGAAGAAGACGCGTATGCGGTTTTGGGCGCCTCCGATGATCAGAATTGTACTTATAACAAGGTTGGCACGTTTCTCATTTTTTATGATATTATAATTTTATTTTTGTCAATTTACAATCAACAAATTATTTCTGTCATTTTACAATCGTTCATTGTTGATCAATATTGATTACTTTTATCTTTAAACAAATAATTACAGGGATATATAAGGCAAGCATTGTACGCATGTAAAACGTGTTGTTCGGACAAAATTCGAGCTGCTGTTTGTCTGGCATGTAGTTTTCATTGTCACGAAGGGCACGAACTTGTGGAATTGTATACAAAGCGACATTTCAGATGCGACTGTGGAAATTCCAAGTTTAATGGCAAACAATGTAATTTGGAGAAGGTATTTGAGTTTTTTGTGTATATTATTTTCTATGTTTTTATTATACAAAGTTGTATTGTCATAAGTGTTCAATTAACTCTTAATTTCCTCTAGCTGAAATCTGCTATCAACATTGAAAATAAATATAATCAAAATTTTGATGGAGTTTATTGTACTTGCGCGAGACCATATCCTGATCCTGAAGGCGATGAAGATGACATGTTCCAATGTACAATATGCGAAGATTGGTATCATTTGAAGGTAAATATATATGTGTGTATTAATAAACAAATTGTATGCATCTAACAATTATTTTCCATAGCATCTAGAATGTGACAATGGTATACCTGCAGATAATGCATACGATGAAATGATTTGCGCAGGTTGTATGAAACAACACAATTTTCTATGGAAATATGCATCAAAATATGCAGGTTAGATGCCTGGATTATTAAAAATTGTTGTCTAATTGTAAATTTATTAATATGTACTCTTTGGTTATAAGTTTTGAGAAAATCAGATGTAAAATCTGATGTATCTGAGAACAACGAAGAAATAGAAGTCAATCAGTTGTCAGAAGGATGCCAAATGCCAAAACAGAATTGTGCTAATACTAAAGGAAGCTGTTTTTGGATAGAAGGTTGGAGAGCTGCATTGTGCACTTGCGAAGAATGCAAATCAGTGAGATATTAAATGTTCTATATATATATATATATATATATATATATATATATATATATATATATATATTTTTTTTTATATATAGATAAATTGAAAATTATAGAGATTTCTACATTCTTTTTGTGAAACTTTTGTTATATTTTTTTCTATTCTTGTAGTTGTATAATGAAAAAGGCATTGCATTTTTACTCGATCCAAAAGATAGTGTACAAGCATATGAGGAAGCAGGCAAAATGAATAAGCAAGAATCGCAATATGAGAAAGGTATGAAAGCTCTTGCAAGCATGGGACATGTACAAAAGTTAACAGCAATTGAAGGTAAAATTTAAATTATTCTAATAGATTTAAATTAATCATACTGAAAAATGTTTGTGTTTCACTAATACTAAACTGATTCTAATTATTTTTAGAATACAACAATATGAAAGAACGATTGATGCAATATCTACAAAAGTTTGCGGAAAACAAAAAAGTTGTTCGTGAAGAAGACATCAAAGAATTTTTTTCAGAAATGGAATCAAAGAAACGTCCGAAAGTGACAGTGCCAACATATTGTCGTTGAATAAAATGTATGTATTTTAATATTATCATTAACCCCATAGCTATCTAATAATTATTACAAATATACTATATTAAAAATATGTATTATATTATGTTTCTATGGTAGATTATTATATACACATGTATATTGGTAATTTAAGATTATCAGTATTGTGGAAAGGTGGGAGAAAATATGTGCATGATTTAAAAGAGACCAAGAGAGAAAAAAAATTTATTAAAGAGTTGCCAGTCTTATCTGATACACATGTATTGACATAAGAGAAACACTAGTACTTATTTCAACATACATTTTTTAACATATCTCCAACACTTTATCATTAAATAATTCAATAAAGTAGAGCATTTATAATAAATTCAAAAAGATTAATACCGAATATAAAGAATCAGTTTGATTTCATTATTGTCTAAAGTTGTTCAAATTTCTTTAATAAGATTATTTAACTTGAATTGAAACATTTATAATCTTTTAGCGATCCATCAGCTAATGGCACATTTTTAGACATTTGTTTTAAACAATTTCAATTTTCGAAAATTAAATTCCCAATGTGCTAATAACAACAAACAATTAAAATTTTGTACACAATGTATATGCAAGTATTTAGTGTTGGACTTTTGGAAGTAATCTAGTAATGTATCGATCCTCGAGAAATTAGTTCCCAAAGTTATCGACAATTTGTTATCAATGTTGATAACTATTATCGATGGATTTTTAATTTGTAATTACTTGATCGACCGTAGATAAATGCCTTTAATATCTTATAATTTGTTAAATATTTTAATATTATCGAATATTAGCAAAGTATCAGAATAATATATTCAAATAAATTTGATGAAATACAAAATAAAATTTCAAAATTCGCAATTGTAGAAATTATAAAATTGAAAACTGAACATAGCGCCCCTTGAAAGATAAAATAATTGAATAAGAAATGACATAAATAAAAATGTCAAGTATTGTAGCTTTAAAAATTTTAATCATTTTAATATTTTTTCTTTCTCTCGTTATGAATAAAAAACGATTAAAAAAGGGGACGAGATAAATCTTGATCTATAACTGGACTAATAAAAGTCTCTCGTATAGTAGTAATATTTATTTATTTACTTCTATTATCTTATAATCTTTGCTTACAAAATATACGGGTCAACGAAACTTTTAAGCAAGTCAGAATGTTCCCAATAAATGTTTTACGCAGGATGTCTTCGACATGTTCACAATGGCGGAACATATTGTTGAGGTTTAATTATACAGCCGACAATCGCGATTGCTTCAACGTGTTCACGCGTTTTATATATCTCGCATTATAATTAATCTTTGGCAGTGATAGAAGAGATCGGGAGTACGTTTTTTTTTCTTTTTCTCTTTTTTTAACACTCGCAAAATTCCTATACGTATTACGCTGCTTCTCCGATATCGTTATCTCATTCGAGTAGTAATTTTATTCACAGTGAAATTATACAGCAAATTACGCGATAAAAGCATGAAATAAAATAATAACGCGCACTCCCTTTTTTATCACTCTAAGATGACCAGCCTCAACAATGATGGCCGCGTCATCGCGAACGCTTCGCCATATAACATTCCTCTTACTTATACGCTACGATTTTAAGTTTAAGAGCTTATCTCGATAAAACTTTCTCGATATTATATATACTATTTGATATATCGTAATATATTAAATAATGCATTCACGATTATAGAGATTTTTTTCATGTATGATGCAAAATAAGTTGTGGTTGCAGCATAATCAACAAATATTTATCTTATATATGCATAAGAATTTGCAGATATCACTGGAAATTTGTTATCAGTGAAACTTAAACAAAAAGATCGCAAAAACTTTAATTTAAAAAATGTATCATTTTTCCATCCAATCTATTTAATACAACTGAATGAATGATTAGATGTGTATTAAAAAATGATAATAATAACATACATTACAATGACTTTAGAACAATAAGTCAACCTATGTTGAGATAATTAATATATTTATAGAGAATTGATTTATATTTGTAAAATGTATTGAAAAATATGAAAAAATGCTGCAATCACAGCTGACGAATTTTCTCATCGATATTCATGAAATACGATATGCATTTTAGGATTACATCGCGCGATATAATTTGCTTTACGTTTTTAATTAAAAATTGCAGATCGGTAAGTCGCATCGAGATCGATATTACACGTCCCGCGCGATCTGATATTTTCTTTCTCACATTACAAACTTTCATATATATGTACAAAGCTAGGCATATTACTATCCAATCCCTTATGACGATGATTCCAACATGTACGAAGAACACTTCTGCCGATTCGCGGCACATCACAAGTAAATCGGACTATCTCTGATGGGTAGTAATATAATTGTAATAGTAATAGAATAATAATAATAGTAGTAGTAGTAGTAGTAGCAATAGTAATAGTAGTAGTATAGTAATAGTTTAATAATAATTTTAATATATATATAGAACACCATTATAAAAATGCTTACGGCTAAATTCTGTGCGTTGAATCTCTTAAAATTATGTCCAATCTTTACGTACAACAAGGAATTGTCATGTATATAACGTTTAATATCCATAATGTAAATTTAATATTCATAATATCCGCATGTAATGTTTTGTGACATAATTTTCAATTCTCTTATATGTTAATTGTAATTTTTAATATTGCACGTTATTAAGTGCCTCTCCTATACAAAGCCACATGTACGTTACTATCGATGATTATTTCCTTGTTGCACTCGCCTTAAAATTACGTTAAAAATTCTACCGCGGCAAATTATATCATCAGCGGAAATGCGCCGATCTCCTTGTTTCCTGTTTACTGCATAAGTTTTCTTACGCGCGGATAAACATGGCAATTAAAAAATATAGTAAATTTAAAAATACTTTTAAAATATTAGTCGCGCTTTTACCTCTTTGTAATTAGAATTTTTTCGTAAATAGAATTTATCATTTACATTCAACGATACTTTTATCTCTGAAATTAAGGCAAACATTCAATAGGAATCTCACGACAAATGCAAGCCTCTCAGCATATGGGAAATGTGGACAGTTATTTTCCTTAATCGCTATTCGCCTCCCTCTCCTCATATCGTATATATATCCATTAAAGACGATAAAAATATATCTCTACTCATAACCGACTTGATAGATATGTTTCCTCTTCAAAGCTTGTTTGTTCGCTAGAAATAAATATCTCTAGCTGCTGATTCAAGCGACGTAAAAATCTAACCGATTTGCTGGACGAAAAGAATAACTTGCCAATTTTTTTTCCATTAAACATTAAACAGTAGCGAGATTGGCATTTTTAGGTCAAATTTATGAATAAGAATTTATGAAGTATCCAAAAATTTGCTTATTTTATGGAAATATCGTTATTTAATAATTTAATAATCGTTATTTAATAATTGTTATTTTTCGAATAATTTTACGAATTAGAGATAGAAACCGAGACGATACCCTTATTAGGATATACAAGATATGGATAAATCATGTGATCCGAGTCACTTATTATTAGTCTTCTAGCGTTTTGATTTATGTTTCTACGTTAGGCGATTATTTCCGCGTAAACTTAATCGTATTAATGTTACTTTGCTAAGACTTATATATATATTTTGCTCGCCCGTATCCTCGAAATGAGAAAATTTTCGACTTTAAAGGATCTGTAAATTAGATGACGAGATGAAAAAAGAGCTCGGTATGACGGACAAATATCAAGTTTCGATCCTTTTGCCTTTTCCAACGAAGAACATCGATTCGATACCTGACATCTATCCTAAGCGTTTAATTATGATTTGTGTGTATGTACTAAGCTGTGATCTCGAAAAGGCGAAAATCGGCGATCACGAACAAGCCTCTCGCTTTCGACCTTGTTTGAGCGAGAATTTAAATCAAGGCCTCATTTCGTAATTAGAACTCGGAAATTTCGAAGGTGAGAGCTAATTGCGCCCGGCGTTGAAATTCTCGCTAAAGGACTTTCAAACCCAGGTCGGAGGTTGCCGATTCTCGCTCTTTGCACGCCACTCTATATAAGCATATCGTATTGATCTCGGTATGTTTCATTGCGCGTGAGGTTCGTCGTTACTCATCCGATCCGGCATATTACGCCGTTTTACCTTTTCGTTCAACGATCTTGACATTATGCACGGCCTATCGATGGGGCTATACATATCGCGTGTCTCTGTCTGTCGTCGTTCTATAATCGTACCGTCGTCGCACACGATGAGTACGCGTTTTAAATTTGACAAGGAGATATTCGGTAAAATTTACGAGTCTTTTCTACGCGTATAATTTCTCTCGTCCTCTCATTTTTTTTTTTTTGTTTTTATCGTCCTGCAGGGAACAATTGTCGAGGAAGATTTCCGAATCTTATCTATACGTATGTCACTCGCGAATTATATATCTTTATTTAAATAACTCGCAATATAGAGATACACGACAAAGTTGCTCGGTACATCAGACTCATTCACCTATAAATTGAACACAATTTAGTCTTTGAGAAAGTAACGTCCGTTACTACGTATTTATAGTAAAAAGGATTGTGCCTCCAACGTTAAAGCATCTCTCTTAACGATGTGTAACGCGAAAAAATGTTGTCGATAAAATTTCCACGATATTACAACACGGACAAAGTACAACTTGTCGTCTTCGATGGTTGCATTTTGAATCGGAGAATCGAAAGTGCGTAGCGATGTAGGAGATGTCTGATTCTGAAACGCACGTATTCGATTCAAAATGCGTACGAGCGATCGTTTCTGCACGCTTTAAATATAGCAAATCACATGTGCTTTTTTTTCCTTCAAAGAGAGAACCTTTAATTTTTGATTCGTACGTATATAAAATTGCTTCATGTGTAATTTAGCTCGATAATGGAAATATTTGAAAACAATTATTTTAGTTAATGCAACGATGGAGAACGATAGTGACGCGAAATCTTTATACATTCACGAAAAATTTTTTAAAATTGTCCGAGGGACCGAATTTAAGAGTGCAAGGGACAATCTGGGAATAAAGATCTCTAGAAAATAAAAAAATGTTTTTGCAAAATGGAGGGAGAAAAAATTATTTCGTGAAATTTATTATGCGATTGTGTTTGGTTTTCTTTCTTTCAATATCTACAATATCCGCGTTTTGGGCGATTGTCCCTTTCAAGACTCCAAATTCGGCCCTCCCAGAACTTGATTTAAACTTGAACTTTTCTCTTTTCCGCACATTATTCGCGGACGTTCTTTCCAAAATATCATGCTCGAGTTCTCGTAGGACGAGTAAAAATTGCATATTATATTTCTCGCTGCGAAATTTGTCACCTTCGCCGACTTTATTTTTCGCAATAAATATTCCTGTGATAATTTGCATATCTTGTTGCGTGCAATTAGCGTGCGAGTGTAATTATTTTATAACTCCATGTCCATGTCATACGATCGACCGATATCGTCAACTATAATAACGTAATTAAAGCTACACACCCTGTGTCAGCGCGTACTGTAATTTAGCTTCGAGACCGTAAAGTCAGCGAGCAAGAAATCAACAAAATCGAATGCCATCAAACAACTCGTTGAAATTCCTCTATTCGCTGTCGTTCATACGTGGATGCAAAGAAATGTCAAATGCGCGCGCGATCGATCATTTTTCAACGCGACAAGCGCGAATGAAAGAGCCGCGAGAAAGAAGCAATGATTACCGTGTCGGAGAATTTTTCGAATATGACGAAGTCTACGTGTGTAGCCACTTTCTTACGTCGACGAGTCGCGCTACGTCGCAACCCTGGAGCTCAAAGGGCCCCGGCTTTTCGCTCGCACCGTTAGAAAATGCGTGACGGCTCTATTCGGAAATAACGTAGCGAGTGCGCACATTGATTAAACCAAACTATGCTCGCGCGTATCGTAACGATGCGTGTACAGAATGGAGGAACTTGGTCCTGACGACGTGACGGACGATGGTGGCGTGGTACTCGTGCACGGCGGAGACGCGGTAGACGCGGAAGGTAGCACCTTCCTCGAGGCAGGCGGTACCTAGGTATTGTGACCTTGCTTGTGAGGCTTGTTCTCCAGGTTGTTGGACGTCGACCGGCCCACGAGATCCTCGAGTTCGTCGGGCGTCAGGACCGTGAAATCCCTGTCGATACGATCAACGGACGATGATTGAGCACGAGGGATCAGATATAATACAAGAGAGATCTCTTGGAAATGCGATAGAATGGAGTCTTGTAATCGAATAATAGTTGAATAATTTATACAATCAAAATAATTCAATAATCGCAGGCCTGCGAAGGTCAGTTATAAAAAGCAGAGTAGGCGAATCTGATAGATTTTTTGACGATGATGAGGGAATCTGATCGCAGAATCAATGCAATAAGCCTTTCCAATTTAACCGTGTTATCTCTCTGTCTTATCAGGAATCAAAATTTAGATAAAAATATAAATTTTTGAACGCCGCCTGTCACTTTCTGAAATTAAAAATGGTGGACAGAATTACAGTAAAAGGTATAAAATTTAGAAAAATTTATCAAAATGTACGACTGCATTAGATATATCTTTATAATACTTTTATGGGCAACTTAACTTGATATATGTAAGCCTTTTCAAATTTCAAGATGATGGATCTGCCATACTGATGTCTAAATTTTCTTTCACGTAAATTTTCTTAAAAGTTGTTGTATATTTCAGCGGAAAAAATCGTGCAGTAGCGAAAATGGATTTGAAAGGTGAAGACTAATGCTACATGATGCCGTTGACAGAAATATTTCAAAAAATTAGATTCTCTCATAATAAATTCATGATATTTGTCAAAATAGCCATTTTTGGCCTATTTAACCATAAATTACTCAAAAACCTAACGTGCTAGAAAAATTCTGCGGTCAGATTCATTTTCAGCGTCAAAAAATCTATCAGTTTCATCCACTCTGCTTTTTGTAACTAAAATTTCGCAGGCCTGTGTTATTTACGCGGCTCGAGAAAATAAATCTCGAGTTTTAAACGCAAATTATAAAGAATTAGAGAATATTCCGTCGACACATTTTGAACGATAATCATAGATGACGTTTCTTTTTTTGTAGGCAATTTTCAAACCCGATGGACACAAAGGAAACAAAAACTGCACGTCTTTGGAAGGAAGGAAGAAAGCTGCGGCATGCATGGCTTCGCATGCAATCGCGCAGCGATGGCTGTGCATCGAGTGAAAGTATCGGAGAATATCGATCGATTGCTTTTTACCTGTGCTGAGCCAACAGCATATCTATGCTGGTGACGCTCCGCTGATGGGTGCCGTCCTTTTGCGCCGCGCTCTGCTTTCTAATGCACACGGCTCTCAGCGGGGCGAGGAACATCCCTATCACCAGGAGGCCGCTACCGGTGGCGATGAGCGCCGCCGAATTTTGCGCGGCTTCCGCGCCCGGAGCCAGCTGCACCAGACCGACAACCAGGACTACAGCTCCCAGCAACAGCGAGCCGACGACGACGTACAGCGAATTTACCTGAGAATAATTTATTATTGGAGGAGAGAGGAGACTCTTTTTTTTTTTTTAGCTACACCGCATACAAGCGCCTCTTTTGTCACGCGGATAATGAAAAAGCGAGCGAGTTCAGCGGCTTGTTCAACAACGAAGCGATCGCATCGAAAAGTCGAAGGCTCTCGTTACCTTTCCGCAAAAATAGTACTCCGGTGGCTCTTTGTCTAACATGGCCAGTACCGCCTCGCTCTCCGCCAGTGGACTTCCCGGCTGGCTGTTCCCTATCCGCAATCCTTTCTCCTGGTAGTAAGTCTTGTGAAAGACCTTCACCGAAGGTACCGGTAACGCCGTAATCATTCTGATAACGAGAAACGTATTTAAGTTATCGTCGAGAATTCATTTGCAAAGTACGATACGAAAAAAATTTACGGTAAGACATAAAGATGTAAATAAATTGATTGCTCGTAACGATCGAGTAATAAAGTTTATACGACTGCCGTTACATGGTACAAAAAGCCTACTAAACTTTACGAGCACATGACTCTACTATTTTTCGTATGAAATTATATCGCGTAGTCGTTTCTTCGGCGTGTTTTACAGTCGAATGTGCAATGGTGAAGGCGATTACTGTGGCAAACGGTCGGTGGTGTCGGTGGCCTAGATATGTTCTCGGGGGCGATGGCCTTTGTACCTCGATTATCGAACAACCCAAGCTAGCGCGGGGTACAGGCCGCACCGCTAAAAAACCGCCGGTGTCGCACGACAGTGGACTCTTTCTCTCTCCTTCTCGCAGTCTCTCCGAAATTTGCGTTGGACTCCATCGACGCGTTAACGATAAATACGACCTCGCGTGATTGCGTTTGCGAAGAAGGAGAATAGGCGGAAAATCACCTTTGTACAATTTGGCGCGGCGAACGATTGATTTTAATGATTGAAATTGTATCATCGGGACACCTAAAGTTAATCCGACCTACGGAAAAGCCGAGAATTTCGCAATCGAATCGCGCCAACTGTGTGTATAATAAACGGATACAACCTTTATCGCTTTAGAAAGGCGTAAAGTGGAACGGTGGCCTGATTCCTCGATGTCATGGTTGCAGCTCCACGTGCATCGAAGAGAGTAGGCCAGTTATAGGCGCGCATGAATGTGCAACTAGTATTATGCTATCTTGCAACCTGGATTTCTGCCAAAATCTTGGAAAAGATACGATGGAGGAAAAAAGGGGAAATATTAACGATTATCTCTCGATATTCGATATTACGTTATTAGCGTGCGTAGAGCGAGTTTAGCTGGACGGGGCAATGCTACATCGAGGTGATTCACCCTGGAAGGTACCAACTCGCGGGTTGTTCTACGTTGGGCAACGACCAAAAGGCAGCGACGAGGGCGATATCTTTGGACTTGAAATTTAGATAGAAAAATAACAAGTCTAATAAATAACATTCCGATTGCCCTCGCAAACTCGTGATTCTTGTAGCAATGATTATTCTCCCTCGTAAAGATATCGGAGTCGCCGAATCGACACCCTTCCTCGAAAAAATGGAATGTATTTAAAATTTATGCCAACGACCTACACTTTTCGTGCATTGACTCGCCGTTGCCTTGGGTCGTGCTTGTTACCGTTGATATCCCGCGCGTTTGGCTGCGCTCCAGAAAAATAGCTATAACAGTTTCCGATAATCGAGGTTGGTGCACGCCATATGGCCGCGTGCGTTCGTTCCTATCGCAATTTCATTAGCTTTAGACACGCTGGCCTAAAAGAGAGAGAGGATCAATGACGGAAATCAATATCAATATTTGTCGACTCTCGACAGATGATGAATCCCGTCGAGTATCTCGCGTATCGCGTTTATTTCTCGCTGATTTCTCGAGATTCGAGAGCTGCGTAATGCTTTATTTTAACTGCGTCAATTTCGCAAACGGATCTGTCGAATTCTCCCTCCGGTGATATTCGAGTTTTATTTTCGTTCAATGGAGATTTAAAACGCCTTAGGTAACGCCAACAAGATACCATGTTGCACTAAAATCTCAGAAAATCGATAAATGGGTCACCATTGCACATTTAACATCCAAGGGAAATTTCACGCTTCGCCGATAAGCTTTCAACCGCCAAACCAGGTATTCTATATCGGGAATGTCTATCCTTGAATAAATTAAAAGAGGTATCTTCCCAATCTAGGTAAACTTAAACTCTACTTCTGTTACAAATAATGCAAGTTACATACACACATATAACATATATATATATACATATATATATATATTTATTACCATTTTTATATCATATTATTATCATTATCATCATCAAAAAATAAATTCAAATTATATATTATTATTAATTTTAATTATTTTATTTTATTATTATTATTATTATAAAAAATAAATTATTATTATAAATAAAATATGTATATATATGTATGTATATAAAATAATTCAATCAAATGATAAATCTAAATTATACATATATAATTACATCAATTATATTGTATTTGATATTGAATGCAGAGCGGAAAAAGGAGAATATTATATGCATCTACGATAACTCTAGTTGCCCTATATTTGTTCACCCTGAGAAAATAATAAAGACGATATATTTGCAAGCGCGCACACACACATGCATGAATATAAATACTTTTTTGCATCAACTAGAAGTCAAATTAATAAGAAATCGAAGGACAAAGTGCTTATAGTATGTAATTAATGGAAACATTGGGTTTGCAGGATCTGATGTTTCTTTCGGTACGAAAATTGTGACGGATTCAACAGCTATTATACGAAATATGCGGTTCAACGCGACGAATTCTCGAGATGCATCAACGAGCGAAAAAGATGAAATGAATCGCTCGTAGATTCGAGAAATTCCTCCCGTACCTTATCGCCTACTGGACTTACTTCGTTAGCTGAATCCTCGCGCGTGAGATATATGGAACCCCCTGGCCTGCGACGTACTCGATTGCACAACCTTGGAAAGTATCAAGAGAGCGAGAAAGAAGGATAGCGGGCGAAAAGACGAAAAGTCGAGAAAGAGAAAGGGGGACAGGGGGAGAGAGAAAAAATGGGAGCACTGCGAAGCGTCCGCGAAGCTCGCGTTCGACAAAAGCTCGTTTTGACGGGGTGGTGGTCCCACGACTACTGAACCTTTTGAGACCTCGTATCCTGGTCGATAAACCACCCTACGGCCACCCTCCCGCCCACCCGGCTTGTGCTAAAAGTATCGTCACCATCGACGACCACCTGGTGCGTCGGACGCGCGCGTGCGCGTCCATTTATCCCTTTTTCAGATGACGTCTTTGACGTTTTCAAAACAAACCAATTCAAACTCGCCTCTGTCATCGAGAGCTCGAGACCTGATATAAATTTATAATTCGCAAATTTCTATCGACACGAGTCGAATTGAATCTGAAACGCGACTGATTTATTTATTTTCCAATCCTGTAAGTACGCTATACACACGCATCTATAAATACACCCAGAGACAGAGGAGCCTTGCTGTCTGTTTGAAATGGAATTATAAACTCGTGGAGATAGTTGGACGTTCTTAATAAACGGGAGTCGCACATTTGTGGGATTCGCAATGAAAGCGCCCTTTGTGTTTTGCTGTTAGTGAAAACGTTTTATTAAACTCTGAAAGTTAAAATAGCGATAGAGTTGACTTTTTGCTTACAATTTTTTGTTTAATGTAGAATCACATAGATTAATATCCCCCTCGCACAACGCAACGACAGTGGCACTTCCGCTCGTTCCACTTCACTTCCGTCCATCATATTGTTCTCCGTTACACGATCATTCTCGATTAATTATTCCGCCAAATTAAAGGACAACGCGATAACGAACGGTCACTGTCGATCGCTTGCAAAGAGCTCGCTCGCGTTATAAGATAGATTCGGGTAAGGTATCGTGACGAAACTTTCATAATAATTGCCATTTGACCGCGCAAACGGAACGTATATATACATATATAGAACTGCAGATATAGCTCTGCGCGCGTGTAACAATATAATATAATTATATATTAGGAAGATAGAGTGTATACATATAATATTGTATAATAAATTTATACAAAATCTGAAAGATCGTCTTCTTTTTTTTTTTTTTTTTTTTGAAGAAAGCACTTTTTTTTACTTTTCCGCCGCGCAAATTCATCTCTCTTTCTCTCTCACTCTCTCTTTCGCTCTCTCTTTCTCGCTCACTTTCTTTCGCTCTCTCGCTCTCTCATTCGTGATAATTGGTCGTCGATATAATGCGTGAATATATATAAGTGTGTAGAGAGAGATAGAATATTATGTAAATTATCGAGAGGAGAAACCACGTTTCCTCCAACTGCATTTATTCTCTCGCGCGTGATGAGATGAAATAGATAGCGTGTGATACGCACCGATATACGCGTATAAAAGATAAAATACATATTACATATATATTTATGTATACGTAGACATATAAAAAAAGGATATACAAAATCACGAAAATTCGCGTCAGTCCACGTATGTAAATCGCAGCTTATGCAATTTTGCGTGTATGTGTCTGTGTCTGTGTGCACGTGTGCGTGTAAGCTTGTCGTCTTGAATTCTGTCCGCGGTAAAAAATAAAAGACAATCACGAAAAGGCAAGGAAAGCTTCGACGCGAAACTTGGTAAAACTATTCGCAAAGAAATTCCGCTTCGAGTATGCATGACGTAACGCAATAAAGAAATAAGGGTATCTTCTCACAGCGCGTTGAATCTGCACCAGGTGAATAATCTGCCTAATATATACGCAAGGGGCCTATATACGCAAGCCCGAATACAATAAGATCTCGTTGTTCGTTCACTCGTTTGTTCACAAAACGATGAATTTGCTTTAGATTGTTTTTCTGTTCTTTACTGTGTGCAGCAACACATTTCGTAAACGCACAAAAGTAACAATACGACCCGCGTTTCCTCTACGATACGCGCAGCAACAACAAGCAACTAGTAGATAGTACCGTTTTATGCATTTACTACGATTGGCACTGGGCTTTAACAAAGAAAAAGTTGGCCAAACAATTGGAATAAACAACAACGAGGGCTTACTATATATATATATATATATGTATATATATGCGAAGAGAGAACTTTTTTTCTAAATGCGAATATGTGAATTGTGTCCTACGCGCTTTATATAAATATATAACTACTTTCGAAATACGCTTATCGCCAGTTTGCACGAAGCTTGCACTATCTATATATACACGCTAATATTCCTATATATCTATATTTCGTCTAGTAGGGGACATATTACACAATTTGCTGACTTATATACTTTATAGAAGAAGAAACGATACGTAATGTGTATATGTATGTAATGGATAATGTGCGATGCGTACACATGGCGTATTACATGGCGCATAGCATTTTGTAATCTCTAATAGTTAGTATAGTATATAATTTATATATCTTTTATATATCCCTTTCTTTTTATATATATTCTTACTTGCTCGTTTTTTTTTACCGTTACATCGTGTAACAAATCCGATAAAAACCATTCACCGTCGAGTGAACTCGCGCGTAAAAAAATTGCGCGAATCGTCAATCGCCTAAATTAGTTCCCGTATGAAATTTTACTTCGGAAGGCGCCCGAGCAAAGTGTACTAACACTCCGCATACTCGCGTTTGATTAAAATGACATGATACAGGTAGATTCGCAATTACAAAGGCAATTAGAGCGATTACAGTATATACTGTGCCTCGCGTGAAAATTAGGCAGTGCTGACTAATAAAGTAATAATATATTTACGCAAAAGAGATGCAAATTTCTGGTGTATATGTGTACATAATTTATAATAAAGTAACTGAATCTACATGCAAAATATGGCCTAATGAAGAAGGAGGAGGTCACTTTTCAGTAATTATGCTGATTGAATTTAAAATATTAAATTATTATTTTCTCTTCATCATTTTCAATTATAAATTTTAAAACTAGGAGATAACGTACCGCATAATAAATAAATTTTTATTTGTTCATTCATAGTTTTATTAATGCACATACCTGTATTAATTTATTTTTTCATTTATAATAAATCGATAGGCCATAGTAGATACAGTTGCCTTATTATTGCCACGAAATGAAACGCGCGTCAAGGGCGCGAGAAAATTAATAAAGTTAAATACTGTATTGCTTATACGAGCTATTAGATGAATATTTCGAACTTTCATGAATTGCGTTGCAGTTCGCGTCTCACTATGTTTTACATTTGTCGCAAATTTATCGTTAAATAGATGCTTATTTATGATTATTTATTTTTGGGACTGATTGCACCAACGTTGATTGCCACTTTAATATGATGGTTAATAAAATTATCTATCTCTCTAACTATGTATGTGTAATTATCTATCTCTCCGATTACAGATGAAATTCAGATATCTAAGGAGGGATATCTATATCTACATCTAACATTCATCTAGAGATAGTCTACCTAAAGCTGCAACGCGTTAGTGCAACAGACCGTGTTATAGAGACGATTACATAACCAATCGTCTGCTAATCCTAGATTACAGTGCGCATATAAGTAAGTGTAAGTGCATATGGGCGTGTGTGTGTGTATGTGTGTGTGTATCATTTGTCTTTCCTCTCATTTTATATCGGCTATTAAATCAATGAGAGAAAATATAAGAATGCAGAGAAATCGCGAAATTTCGCTACATGAAATCAGATCGTCTTTTGTGTGAAATGTCAGTGTGTAAAATATTCTTGCGAAACTGCAGTGTGTATATATGTAGTGTTTAATTTCACGCGATAACTTTAAGTGGACCCCAATAGACGAACGTGTATCCGCGCGCCGAGAATTATTCTCACAGGAAACGTCATTAATGTTATTAATGTGCATTGAATTATTCTTATTATATTACGCATTGCGTGTAAATTGTAAAAATTGTAAACGAATATAATTGTAAAGAGAGAGTGGAATTATCGCGACACATAAGCGATATCGATTTACCCTTTACGGCCTTTACCTTTAATGAAATTGTAAAGGGTATATTGAGCGAATACAAATAATTTGTCAATTTTATATCGAACGAAGCTCTCTTTCTCCGCGCGCAGGCACAAACTTTTTGTTAATGTCGCTTAAGTATAAATATATATATATATATATATACATATACGAGTGTAAAAAGATAATGTACATGTATCTTTGTTATGCAAAAGACGCATTTCATGTCGCTTCATGACGTAGCGTTGCGAGATTGTTAGTTAACAATCGAGTAACACTTTCCCCGATTCGCAAAGATCTTTCTCTGGAAAAAGTTATCGAGGTTGCTAATTGGTGCGTTGGAGTGCTGGAAAAATCTTACCCGCTATAATCAAGTTATTAAATTTCGACATCGACGTGCGAGTTATCCGATTTCTTTACTCGCACAAAGAAGACGCGTCGCATTCTAGGAAACTCTATATATACTTTAAGATATTATACGAAAGAATGGCTACGTGTTGTTCTTCCTTCCGAAGAAAAAAAAATTTCGCTAAATTTTTCTTTGTCTTATTTGTCCTTTTGTCCGCGCGAATCAACATTTCCTTCTCGTGTCACTCCAATCATCGAACGAATATACGCGTATCTCCCCCCTTTGTTCATGTATTTTAGGCCTCTTCGCATTGCGAGCCCTGAGAACTACGTTTCTGTTTGTGATTGTTATGATGATGGTGCTGGTGATGATGATGATGATGGTGCTCCCGATGCTGCATCAGAGCGTCCGTTTCCGGTTGATTCTGATGACCAACTAGGAGGTCCAGGGTATCTTTAGGTACGGCGGGTGCTTGCTCGCTCGTCGCTGGTGGAATAGGCGTTGCGACCGGCGACTCGACCGGAAGCGGCACGCAATGTAACACGTAACATCTTACGCCCGCCAGGATAAAGCCTGAAACGTAAACAATAATAAGTTACGAATCTCACCGGCGAGCGATTTAATTGCGCTTTAATTCGACGCGCGTTTTATAGAATAACGAAGCAGTTGGACGTGAAGAAAATTATTAAATATATTTTGTACAATAAAAAAAAAATACTCAAGGTGTCTCTTGTTAAGCGCACTTTAAAATGCAGATTCTTTGAGTAATTTTTCCTCGGCAAAGAAGTCGAGAAAGTTTATAATCTACTATAAAGCAACTTTTACAATTTACAATATTACTACATACATATTTTATCTTGTATAATGAAGATTAAAATTAAGACTCTATGACGGAAAAATTTACCGTTAAAATTAACTTGAAAATATTATTCTATTATTCCGTTAATTTGTTTCTCTAAAGCAAAGCTTTAAACAAGATTCTTTGTCGTAATTCAAAGATTACTTGAAAAAAGTGGCTTTTACATTGTTTTAAAGAAGAAAATTTGATTTCAAATTGACCGAATGATTTCAAATTGACCGAATAATTAATGAAGGATATCTTATACATTTTTGATTCTAAATAAATGTATTGAATAATTCGTGAGAATAAAAAAATTGCTTCTCCATTGTTCCTTAATATATTTTTTTCTAAATATGATTATGCATTGGAATGAATTGAAAATATCTCGGGAATTTCCACAATGTTATTAGCAACACAATACATTCTCTTTCTCTCTCTGTTCTCTCTCTACTCTTGTACCAATACCAATCTATATCCAGATAGGTAGATGCATTCTCATCGATAATTCTGTGAAATCATCGAGCTCCCTCGCTGATTTTAGAAGCAAATTGTATGCATCTTGTACGATACAAACGATTATTAATGAAGGGTGGGAGGGAGAAGGCTTTTCTCCATCTAAGAAAGCTCACCCAGTATAAGTAGGGCAGCGCCTGCCACGAGTAACGCCAATCTGTGGTTGGTGGTCGTTGCACCCGGAGCGAGTTGGACGAGACCTACTACGAGCACCACCGCGCCCAACAACAGGCACACAACCACAGCATGCAGCCCGGATATCTGCGGGCAACGATCTCTCATCAATCGACGAATTTGCATTTGCACTTATCATTATGAAAAGATTTTCTTGTCACATATATCTACAGATATAAAATATTAATATATAAAATTCTCTCTCGAAAAATAAATAGACCAAAAAACTGGAGATACATTTATAAATATGTAAATTACCATTTTGAACATATTGATTTTATCGCGAGATGGAATGGAATATATAAAGTAATGTATAAAAATTTGAAGAGAGAATCTGCAATCACAGATTAATCACTTTAATGCAACGCCAGGATAAGAAATTTTATTTATAACACATATTTTTGTAAAAACGCTCTCTAAAATGGAAAGATTAGACTTAGATTTTATATCGTGCAAGCTATTCTTCGTAGCTTGCCTTTAGCTTTGTTATAATTTTTATACTTGTATGTACTTAGACTTGCATAATCTTAGAAAAGCGCAAAGAAAGCAACTGCAACTAAACTAAACTAAACCAAGTACTTAAACTTTTAACTAAATACATTGGGTATAGTTCTTTGAACGTCAACTTTATATTGTGATTATTACAAACTATACATTACCTTGCCGCATAAGTAGAGCTCGGGCAAGGGTTCTAAATTGTTGTGCCCGTGTGGACTAGGAGTGGGTGGCGAACCTTGAAGGGGTGGTAGCCATTGCCCTCCCAAATAGAGTTGACTCGGCCGTTTCAACCTCTTTTCTTGCCTTCTACGCTCGTGACGAACCGCCACCGCTGGCATAGCACCAATCATCCTGATCAAACACAAGACAGATAATTTCAAACACTCCATTCTTGTTTAAAAAGAAAATCAATTCCCAATTAAATTCCCAAACACATTTTATTGAAATTGAAGTATTTATTAATTCAATAATCTGGTAGTGATTTCATTTGCGAATTAAATTATGTAATTATTTTAGTTTATTATTAAAATTATAAAGTGTACTTGAAATGTTGTAATGTTCACATATATATTTTCTATTAAAAAAAAAAAGAAAAATATATATGCATGACTCGTACATGTAAAAAATTTCTTTCTCGTCTGAAAACGAAATATACTCTGCAAGTAATGTGCTGCTGTTTTAATTCAGTACTGAAATATTTTTATACAAGCGACATTCGGAGATATGTCACGTTTCATTTTTTTTTATGAAAAATGTAGTCGCAAAAGTCAAATTATTAAGTCCAACACAAAAGTCAAGTCCAACTTTATATTTGGTATATTAATAAACGTCCATCAATCCCGCCTCATCTCTTCCCTGTTGCATTATCTAGAAAATATAATTTTGTTTACAAATTCGACGAAACATCTCTCGCGATTTAAACACATTTTGGCAATGAATTAAAACAGCAATTTGTCATTTCGTACGTTTCAACGGTGAAAGAAAAGAGATGGATATTTCTCGATAATTCAAAAAGAAACGTAGCTACAGAGATTAAACAACTTTTTGGCGATACCCCGTGATACTGACACCGGTACTTTTGCGCCAAGTGCGCTATGAACTTTGGTGACCCCGGTTGACCTCGGACCGGTCGATACGTCATTGCATCCGCCCTACAGCCCGGAGTCGATGCAGCAAAGTTCCAGGAGGCCGAGGGCACAAAAAGAAAAATGGTACCGCAGGCAAAATCTTAACGGTCCTTGCGTCCATTAAATTTATTTATTAGTGGTATCTCTGCGATATTTATTACTCATTTAGGAAAATTAATCGACGAAATTAATTTCCATTTTTCTTCTCTGTAAGAAATTTGATGTACAAGGTGTCAGGGAAATCTCTCGCCAAAAGAAGCTCTTGCAGCTTACCTCGAGAGCTGTTCAAAACACTATAATATAATATTTTTTCATCGAGTACTTTTCGAGTTATGAGGCTTGAAGTAATTTCTTAATTTAATAATTTCTTAATTTTCACATAAACCATAAAATATCTAGTAAAATATTCATTTTTCGATTATAAATTATAATTAAAATATGAAAAATGAATATTTTACTAGATATTTCATGGTTTATATAAAATTAAGAAATTATTTCAAGCCTCATAACTCGAAAAGTACTCGATGAAAAAGTACTTTATTATAGTGTTTTGAAAAGCTCTCGAGGTAAGCTATAAGAGCTTTTTCCGAGAGATTGCCCTGACATCTTGAAATAATTTAAACGCAGTTTGATGTAGAGAAAACTTTCGAATTAAAGGGTGAAATGAAACGGGGATACACGTTCTCGTAGATGGAAGCGGAAATACTTTGAGCGTAAAAGAAGAATCATTCGTTAAGAATGGAGCGTTTCATAAATATTTATTCTCGAAAAATCGTGCATCAAGTTGTATATAAGTGGTACAATAGAGAAATCGCATAAGAAAGCTTTGAGAACTCGATTAAAATACCTATGGTAGAGAGTAATCGCAACAGCAGCGAAGTGACACTCTTTTGCGCGTATTTTAGTATATAACGATAATTACAACAATACTTTTTTTTTTCTTCGTCGTGTGTAACGCGTAGCCTTTTTTAAAACTTAGCCTTCTACGGATACGTTTCCCAAGGACGGATCCCGAGGGGATGAAGATGACATCGATTCGGTAACGCGATGCGGTAAACGATGGCTGCGAAACACCGCTCCCTCTCAACACCCTGTCACTATTCCCTGCAATTCCGACCCCACGCAAACGTATCCTCTTACACTTGTATCTTGTACGTTATAAATTTCACGGTAAGTATAGTAATATTCTTAAATTGTCCCGAGAGAGATGCAGATATGCGCATTCATCGAGTGTTCTTGCCGCTTATCATTTACCCGCACGCATCAATTTCAGTCCGGAAGCGTGTGAAACACGATATTGAATGAGAAACGGAAACATCCCGGACACAAAAAGGCCAAAACAGACATCTCAAAGACGTCTAGAGGACTTTAAGACATCTTTGAGTCGTCTTTTTGACGTCTTTTGGACATGGATGCTGTCTGAGACGTTTCTTCTCTCGATACATTCGCTTATACATACTTGAGATTTCGACAAGAATTTGATCAAGATGTGTGTAACGGCATAGAAGAGGTTCATTCTGTGTAATATATATTCGCAAAATGAGCATTTTAGTTTCGTTTATGCGTTTCTAGCAATACTTTCATCATTGAATTCAACTCTTTCCCTCCCATTATCGTTACTATTCTCTCGCAAAAACAAAGGATGCCGGCTCTTCCGGTTATCGTAGCTGCATTAATGGGCAGGATCGCTCGCAGCAATCGCCACGAAATGGAGATTTTTTTTTAAATCTCCAGGGATATCGAGGAAATAATCGCTTTCGAAAAAAGACTAACGATTAACGCAACGACGATTTGATTCGTCATCGAATAATCGAATCGTGCATCCACATTCATCGGTCTCTTGTGTTTCATTGTGCGGATAATGCACTTCTATTTTTTACTATATACGTCGCGCGCTATTATATGTATCTAAAAAATGCTGTAAAATGTAAAGTCAACGATCGAGATTTTTCAAAGTAGCACGAAACAAAAATGTGCGAGATATAACGAATAATTCTGCAAAGAAATGTCGTTTCTTCCAGAAATGTGGCTTTCTACGCATCGATAATCGATTCATGCATTTAAATCTGAAAAGTTTGCAAACATACGATAGGCGCGTGCTTATATATGCGCGACACTATGTAGAATATAATTGTACCACTTATTTGAGGGCGATAAAGTACCCGAAGCAGAGACATTTCCCGTCTCAGATAGGTATGCGCCCCTTGAAAAGATATCGTGCCTTGTAAATCTATCATATGTAAACAACAAAATTACAATCGAGATAGTACGAGAAGTATTTCTAACTTTAAGAAGATGTATATCCTTAGATTTAAATGCGAGAGAGACTTACGCTATATACATGCATACGTATACATATATGTACACATATATATGTATATGTATGCGCGTATGTATAATACATGTATATAATAAGTAAGATTAGTTTGCGATTTCAGCCTTTCGAGTCGAGGAAACAAACGAATAGAATTGAGACTAAAAAATTGCTTGTCAAAAATAGAGAATACTCGTGATCACAGAAGTTTGAGAAACGATCGATCCTCGATTAACATTCATTCATACGTTTGTGCATGTCTACAATAATCGTTTATAGAGTTCGCGCGTATCCGAGACACGCGAAAATCAAACGAGTATACGCGAAATTATAATCTCACATGTATCTCTTCGTCTCTCGAACAAATTCAAAGGAAGATATCAAATGCACAACCAAAGGCACTTTTGCACGACGTTTAATTCAGAGCCGGTTTAAGAAGATTTTCGAAAATAATTTTCGACGAAATTTTTCACGCACCGTTGCCATTCGAAAGCGATTCTTTTATAATCCCGGACGTTTAAAAAATTATTTAAGCGAAATTTTTTTGGCGCGACTTTTGTAAGGATATTATATTCAGTCAAACGCGATAGGTCTGCTCCCAATTCCCATCGATCGTCTCAACCGACCCCGATTTAATCGTAATGAATTTCGCCCTTTTTATTCGCGTCTATTCTTTTACAATCTCCTTCTCTCTTTCTCTCTAGTCCCATCGTCACACAATTTTCCTCTCTCGCACTCGCGCATTCTCACTTTCTTAAATTTGCAAAAGGCATAAAAAATTGTAATTAGATATAATTAAATATAGTGGGACACTCTTTGTGTTGTAAGAAGTAGATAGCGCCCCGCGCGATGATGATAAAAACAGCATGTATATAATGCAGCGTGTATAATATAATATATAGTATATAATATATACAGAGTATACACGATATTTCGAAAGAACATTTTCAATGTGATTTCATTTGACGTGTAAGACGATTAATTTCTTCTCTTAGGATCACAGAATAGTAGCGCCCGAGCATAGCGATATTTCATTTTCAAAGATATTCGGAAACAAACGAGCGAACGCGCGCGAAATGTAACGTCATTTCATTGATTGTTTTAGATGGAATCGTCACGAGAGATTTCGCGACGTCGTTTGTTCTCAAACATCTCGCCATCTAAATCTAGAGTATGTATGTAAATAAATGTTTAATATATTATAAAAAAGGAATATAGCACATTACAAATTATCGACTAGCTTAACAATACTGCTGCGCCAACAGTCATTGGACGAATAGTTGCAATTTTTCTTGTCTCGTATATTTTGGAATTCGCCGTATATATTTATATATTTATATGTATGTATATTAATCATATTTTCCAAGTTGAAATATTAGCGCTAAAGTGTGTATATATCGAAATAAAATCTGGGAATGTCATCGCGAGATTCGGTTGTTGGATATTAAAGATAACAATTACAAGTAAAACGCGGTAATTTTTCAACGTGAGATCAACTCGGAGAAATAATCGGGAAAGGATCGAGCGTATCCTAAAAGGACTCCCGCGTAATATACGCGTCGTTACACTTATACGTCTAATAGATTTCTTTGAAGTATAAATGGATTATTTTCTCAATAAGTTATTCAACGAGAGTAACATACTTGCCGCTATAGAATGCGTTTTGAATAGCAATGTCGTTTCGTAAAGTCGTGTCTCTTTCTACGATATGATCTCCTTGGATAATGTTCTTGGTCCTTGAATTCGATTCTTTTGTTACCTACTTGACGCACGCGGGTTCCTCGTTCGAAGTATCGGGTGGGATGCGTGTATGCGTGTGTGATTATCGAAATGGTCGCTCTTGAAGCTTCGATCGATCGATTAAAAGTCTCTCGTCGCTTCCTTCGGAAGAAGAGGGGAACCGGCGCGTTTACCCTTTTTGACTCGCGATACGAAATCTGTACGTATGGCCGCGTAAAAGTTACTCGTAGTAGGGTGCCGTTCCCAGTACCAGGAGCCTATTTTAGCGTTTTCTCGCTTCGCACGAGTTTTTAACGTTAACGCGCTTGTGCCTCGCAATCCTGCCAAAGTATTTTTCACGGCCCGTCGTCACGTGTCTTAAGATTAAATATCTCCCTCGCGCAAGACAAACGTGAACGCGCGAATCGCGAAATTTTGACTCCCAGAGATACATGTTCCGTTGTCGAAAGAGAGATATGTCGGAATAATAATAATATGCTGGATAAAAAAGCTCCTCTCGCGATCTGTCGTTGCGTTATCCGTATCGTTTTTACGCGTGATTACGCGTCGCCCGGGTCGTCCTCCGGCGAAATCGCAACGCGACCTCTCTCTTCCCCGCCGTCTAGATCTTGGAAACGTAAAGCGGCCGATGAACTTGTTGCGGATTCCCATTTTGCTTGGAATATCGGACGTTCTGCAGCAACTCGCGAGTCTCGCTGGGCGAGCCCGGACTGAGGCTGGTGGTGGTCGAGGTCTCGACGCGATCGCTGATAATCTCCTCCTCGGTAATCTGCTCCAGATACAACGCTGATTGTACCGCCTGATTGTCCCCGTTGATCGCGATCTGCGGCGAGTAAGCCGGTGGCGGGCTCCTGGGCGGCGATCCGTCACCGTCGACGGCCTTCCCGTCCTTAATCTCGAGAGACGTATCCGAGGCCGCCTGCTTCATCTGCTTGGCCCGTCTGGCGTGGCGGGTGGTGAGCCCGCCGGTCTCCACGTCCCGTTCCAATCGATGCCCGGATCTGGATCTGGTGAGCTGACGTTGAACGTACTGCTCCAGATCGTCCTCCTCCTTCTTGGCGATCACGCGATTCAGCACGATGAGGAAGACGCCGACGACGACCGCGAACAGTCCCACGGCGACGAGCTCGTTCCACCAGCCGCTGGAAGCCTTGGTGCCCCAGTGAGCGAGGTCGCCGGGCAGCAGGCCGCTCATGAGGAGAAAGGCGCCCAGGACGAGGAACACCACGCCGATGTGCAGCATCCCGATCGAGGTGACCACCTTGGTGTCCAGCATCCCCTGGCCGGCGTTGCGCGCCGCGCCGTGCGTGCCCTTGTGATGCCTGCCATGGTGGTCCAGGGAGCCGGTCGAGGCCCTAGGCGACGTCAGGCCGCTTTCGCCTGATTGCGCGCTATAACGACGCTCGCGAGCGCGACGCTGCTCGTCCCGGCGCTTTCGCTGACGTTTGATGGCCAGCGCCGAGTGCAATCCAACCGCGTGCATCCTGCAACACCGGAAAGACAACCCTTGGCTCAGTCAATCCCGCTAACAATTCCGCCTCTCTCTCTCTCTCTCTCTCTCGCCCTCTCTCTCTCTCTCTCTCTCTCTCTCTCTCTCGCTCTCGCTCTCTCTCTCTCTCTCTCTCTCGCGCTCGGTCTCGAACCTAGCTAAATCGTTTCCTTTTTTTTGCTTTCTCTCTTTGCAATTTTGTTGCGCAAGCAAACGCAGCCAAGACGAGTAATCTTGTTGCTATTAATTAAGCGCGAAGCGAAAGAAAATGCCAGGTTGAGAAATGGCATTATTGTTTCCAGTAACGCGAAATGCCGATAAAGCAATCTATACATGCTTCGCGAGCGAGCAATACCGCGAACAATCGCGAATGCACAATCGCGCATAGAAATTCATCGACACACTACCACGGACAAATTTGCTCGGGTCAAGTTGCTCGGCTCTCCTCTACTATTTCCCGGCTGCTCGATAAGTCCATTGCTCTGGCAAACTTTCGCTCGTTCAGCATCGACTAATTAGCTACCTCTATTTATCTAAAGCCTACAGGATCTATTTACAGGGTTTACAGGATGCACTGCGATGGAATCGCGCGTATGTTAAAGCGTATCGCACGATGGCGCATTTTCACAGTCTTGTGAAGAGGTTTCTTCTCACGAGGCGCGTATCGAGGTTTAAAGGGTGCCAATGGCCGCCTTTATTTTGCGTTTCGTAGCGTTTCCGTCTTCTCGCTTCGATCAGAAAAAACGCTCGCAGTCCTTGTACGCCATCATCAATTTATTAAACGTATATAATATTACTCTATAAAATAGGTCACTTGCGTGTATTTCTTACAACTGTCTGCAATTACGCTAATTTTCTTCATCTTTCCCTTTTATTTTTAAATCGATGAAACTCGATTTTCCAGCTTCAACGAAATAAAGAAAATAAGAATAATAAATTTCATCGTCATCGTCGTTTTTCTCTCAAAAATATACATAATTTATAACGTTAAAATGAAACCAACTATTTAATGAGAGAAAATTAGCTATCTTAATAAAGTAAAAAATAACGATTTAATCAGAGTTGTATAAATATCTGCATAATCCATAAAATGAAATAGTCCATTTAATAAGCTAAGAAAACAACTTGCAAAATTATATTCGCTTTCCTCGTGTCGGAACTAAAAAAGATATTTTCAGTGAATTTAATCACTCTAATGAATTCTAGATGTAATGTGGAAAGAGTCAAACATTTCTCTCGTGAAGCTGAGAAATGTGAGAGATGAAAAATCGATAAAAAGGTACGCTATCAGGTAATAAAAAAATTGTACGTGCGCGAGGCGACTTCAAATTGTAACAAAATTGTAATTTTTTACTCGACGAGAATTCAAGAGAATATTCGATCCAATATGCATATATTTGAAACTCTTTTTCGGTGCCATTACACTTTTTTATGCACCGACGAAGCCGCCCCTTTCGCAATTACGCGTAAAAAAATGCACATTTCAGACAAAGTAAATGGCATTACGAGATGTTATGTCTGTGTCGTGCGTGTGATATTTATTACATATGAGCACGCGCTTTGTGTGGAATTGTTCTCTAAAGGGCATGCCGCAAAGTAATTAAATATCAAAGCGCGCTTTGCAATACTTGTGTCCAACTTACGGGGCTGCGAGGGGATGAAGCGAGAGAATATAAAAGGGATGAAAAAGCCGAGGAATGTTCTCTTTTGCATAGAACGCCGAAGAATGCTCTCCTTTCATCGAGAAAGTCAGCGTTCGTCATTTGCGAGTACGCAAATTGTACGAAGAATATCTTTGATCTCCGTCTTGGTTCCGCCCACGAAGAAACCTACCCTATGTCGCTACGTAAATGCCTGTATCGTGAGGAAATTTAGTCCGCGATCGATATCGAGGGAAGGAGAAAGAGAGAGGAAGAGAGAGACAGAGAGAGAGAGAGAGAGAGACGGACACCCTCACCTCGGAGGTTCGAGGATCGATATCGAGCATTTTCGAGAGCGAGCCGGAGATTCGAGCCGAGGGAAAAATCTCAAAGATGACTTGGCGGGTGCTCCTTCATTTTACGATCACAATGCGCGGCGCCGCAAAAGCGTTTCCTGCTCCACGATCAATAAAACCATCCCCCATCCCCCTTACAGAACGCAAACGCAAAGTACACACGAGGACAGATACTGGCGGTGTGCACCATGTACAATGTGTGAGCCACGCATGTGTGCTACGGAAAACCCACGCCGCGAGAAAGAAAGAAGGAAAGAAAAGGAGAGAAGGAGAGAGAGAGAAGCGTCGTCTTGCGTTCTGAAAAATTCAGGCGAATTAATTTTTTGCCATTTTTTTTTTATCTTTTCGCTCCGCTTCTCCGACGAATCCGTCCATTTTTCACGCCATTCAAAGGTGAAATAAACGAAAAGATCAAATAAAGAGAATACAAAGAAATGTATTTATTATTCCGAGCGCGCGGGGAGACTTTCCCTTGCAAAGTGTGACAACAAACAGAATCTCGCGTAAAATAACAGAGGTGTCAAATATATGTATACGTATGGTAAACGGTAGAAAATTGATCGATATACTTGTTAAATGATAAATTGAATATTAAACAGCATACAACTGTAGGGAAATAAATTTGAGATTAAGATAAAGTATTAGAAGAGATTAAAAAAATTTAAAAAGGAGACAATACGCTGGATTAATATAAATGTAACCATTTCCCGGTTAATCCCCAGACATTCTCTCTCTCTCTCTCTCTCTCTCTCTCTCTCTCTCTCTCTCTCGCGCGCGCGCGCGCGCGCGCCAAGTTATTACTCCGCCTATAAAAACATTTCGTAATTAACAATAATTTCCGACAATATCAGATTTAATTATACACTTTGCATTGTGCGTGGTCACCGTAATCCGTCAATACGATTACCTCTCGGCAGAGAATAAAGGGGCGTCGAATGTATGAATATAAACGTCTCGGCATAATTCTGATGTAACGTTTTCGATGTTGCAAATGTGTTTCTCGTTTGGTGGCACCGCCGCTTATCGTTTTATTACGTGCTTCGCGACACGTGCGCGACACTGCCATTTCGCGAAATTATTATCGCCCATTTAGAGTTTCGTTATTTTGAGTCTGGCGCATCGCCAAGAGTTCGATACTCATTACAAGGATTTGCGAGAATTGCACGTTCGAGGCGCGCCGCGAAATGAAGAAAAAAACCGAAAAACCCGACGACGATCGCGAGCGCGAATGACGGATTCGAGAAGAAAATAGCCGATCCGACGATTACAATAGGATGATGCAAATGAACGTGATGAGTCACGCGTGACCTTCCCGAAAATGGATCGCATTTTCCGCGGATGCGACAAACGATGCAGCTTTTGCGCCGGACGTTGATGCAAAGCACGCCAGAAACGATATATCGTCGGCTCGAGGTCCTTGGCTGTCGTAAATAATGCCGGCCATGTCCTTACATCCTAATGGACGACGCAATCTATTCCGCAGTCATCGACCGGATCCTACGTGTTTACGTTTCCACAAAGAAAGCGCTGAAGCGCCCATCGGAAAATCGTCTGAGCTTTTTAAGCTTGTTTTTCTTTAAGCTAAAAAAACGGGGCTCCGTCTGTCAACGGAGGACCGGCGGATGACGATACACACGCTATACCTTCCTCTAGTCGAATGTAAAAAATGCCACCCCAATATACCTCCTTTATCACCGATATAAAAATAAATGCTGTTGATATTTGCTGTTGAAGATTCCATATCCTAGCAAACACCAAGTAAACATTTATATAACTGTTAGTTGTAATTTCCTACTCGACAATATAACTGTTCTAATATAAATGTTATATATTGTTATATCAATATTATTATAATATAATTATAATATAATATATTGTTATATAAAATATAAATGTTATATATTGTTATATCAATATAATCATAATATAATTATAATTATAATTATAATATAATATATTGTTATATAAAATTGTTATAAAATTGTTACATAAATATTATATAAAACTTGGTGTTTGCTGGGATACATGTCGGTCATCTGACGTTTCGATCGTCTTCTAAACGATCCGAGGCGCCGAGTGTTATAGTACACACGATGTAGCGTAAGGTCGGTCATACGATTGTTTCCGTTGATGTCGTATGTTGCACAGAGTAACCTGTTGCCAGACGCGAACATCGGGCGGGTCGTGTGTAATAATGCTGAGAAGGCGAGTATATAGCTATTGGCTCGATCAATGATAAACCGTGTAAACTACCAGGAGGAAGCGAAGGAGGATGCCAAGGGACGATTAGGCGGACGGATAATTTGCGATCTCGGCGACGCGGTTCTCGGCAAATAAAGCGAGATCGTTCCGAGACCGTCGTGTATGCATGTATGCGTTTCACGCATATTTCTATAAATATCTCGAAATGCGGAGGAGAAAAAGGGAAAAAAGGCAGCGATGATAGCGAAAGAAATTGCGTATCGCTTAGCACCCTGGCCGGTGGTGGTGCACTAACAAAGATGCTTTTGTATGCGTACCGCGCATGCAACTGTCTATAATGTGCATTTCTCGAAATAGAATTTGTTGGACAAAGCTGGTCTTGTCGGACATGCGGTTTGTGTATTTTCAAACAAGATCGTACCTTTCAACAGGACGCGACGCTCACGCGCCTCGCATACAGATTCAGTTTTATACATACGTGTACGTATGTATGTATTTATATATTATATATAAATATTTCAGTACCTGTATCTATAGAAGAAAGCTGAATAGTTAATTTTTTCATTAAAACCGAGATCCGCGTCGGACGTAAACAAAGCGCTCCATCGGCGAAAATGAACAAAAAGAGAAACAAAAAATTATTCCAGACGTACTTTTGCGTCGCGTCCTGCGAGTAATCCGGATTTCCCGGAGGTAGCCAGTTTTGTTTTTTTTTTGCCAAACTCTTTCGAAAAGCTGTTGTGGATCGATAATCAAAATGTGTCCTCTTCATCTTCGTTTTCGTCATCTTCGTCATCGTCGAATCGAGTCGAGACGATTCGCGAGCGATTAAAATATAATTGGATAATGCGTAATAACGAAGGCGATTACCTGATTTCGAGGCTTCACACTTCCGCGAAGAAAATAGGCGAGTCTCCGAGGCGCCGATGACGTCTCACGCCATGAACTTCCCTCCCGATGGCGAAGCTCGTCTCCCCGTGAAATTAGAAAATCGCCGCTCTCGTCCTTCCTCTCACCCTTGCGGTTCTCTTCCCTCTTTGCGAGAAGGCTTCTCGAAATCGTTACATTTTCCACCGAAAATTTCGCTCTCCTCTCTCGGTCGCCGCCGTATTTATCGCCGGATCGCCGGCGGCGGATCCACCGCTCTTTCGCGTCTCTCGTCTCTCGAGGTCTCTTCTCTCCCTTTTCGGAGTAAACTCGCGCGCGCACGTTCCACCCCGAAAGATCGTGGACGAGTAAAGCTTCTATGTTACTAAATAAGAGCGTGTGAGCCAGGACACGCCTCTGCAAAGCATGGCGCAGACTCGGATTCCGCTCTCGGTGCTCGGCGAACGGAAACCCGCAGGGCTTTTACTCCGATGAGGGAACGGTACGCGCAAGTCATACTGGCGAGACGAATCGCATTCATTTCCAAAGTACGTCGACGTAATAAAATTAATATGCATATGTCAAACTTGATATCTGTAATAAAGAAAGAGAACGATTCGAGTATAAACTATACCATCTCTTTTAAATTACATTTATTTTCAAATCGTAAATCAAGTTGTATTCTTATTAAGAGCACACATATATATATATATATATATATATATATATATATATATATACTAGTGTAAATGATGATAAAAATAATTAACCATCTAGCCAAAAGTAGAGATTCATTATATTTCAATTCCAACAAGTATTTAAGAGGTATAGTGCGCGGCGGATGATGCGATATTAAAAAAAATATATTCTCTCATCTTCTATTATGCGATATATATTTTATAGTCTGGAATTCGACATAAAAAAGCATTTATTATAGAGGGGATTTTTTCTTTGCATACATTTTTTCCAAGAGTAAAATTATATATATCTCTGTTTATTATATCTGCATTTTCCATATATATTTAGCTTTAAAGTCTTCTTGCATAATAATAAATCTTTGCTTTAGCTTCAATAAATATAAGTTGGAAGCAATATATTGGATGTACACATATCACAGATAAATATTACGTCAGTCAAGAGAAAAGACAATAAAAAATAAATTTGTCGGAAAATTAGGCACTATAGTGCGCTTTTTAAGGCAGGAATAGCTAACGCGCGCCAAGCGCTAGAAATAATAAAATTACCAGCTCGCGAGAGCCGCGCAAGTAACTCCGTTTGTTAATATCAAGATTGGTGTGTCGCTTAATCAATGTCGTAAGGCACTCTTTCTCATCGCCACGGCTTCCGAACAGTTCCGGCGCTGGTACTTCTTCTAATACCTTGATCTGTAATTTAAAAGTTATTAAATATTTTTTCTCGATAATTATTTGTTTATCTTTGTTTATGAAGATTAAACGTATCCAAGAAACTTACGCAACGTGTTTGGTGACATAAGTTTGTCTCTTATATCCGACGTCCAAGTCTGACACCTTGATCTAACGGCATTTTTTCTTACGACCAACGGCCGCTGGTACTTTGTCATTCTAAACAAAAGTGGAGTTACATCTCAACGATATAAATTACGCAATAATGAAAGAGCGATGTAATGACACGGAAGGAAGTTGTATTATTACGTGGATTCAAATTCCTTCAGATTTTTTCTGGCTAAAGTCTTTTGGGTGGCGAATGAATACGACGATCGAGACGAGGTCGGACGTTCCATTCGAGATTGCTTGATTTCGCGATCTTGCGCTATTACTTTCATTTTTTTCGTCGGTGACTGGGCAAATAAGTCCACTATATTCATAGATGCCGCATCGCACTTGAAAACATTTGTAAAATTATTATACGCTTTCGATCTTTGAAAATACAAACAATTACACAATCTTCGGAGCAATTACCTGCAGTTGAAGGCGATGAAGAAAATCTACTTCCGCTAAATTTAAAGGTGCATCAACGTGCAACTTAAGCATACATTGCAATGCTTCTTTGTATATCTTTTTTAAAGTAATAACGCGTTCGGTTCGCATTAATCTACGCACTAGGTAACCTCGTGTATAAGCGTTGATGATATTCACTGCCTGTATCTATACGGTAGCATAATATTAATGTCTTTATTAATAATACACTTTATACACGATAAAAAGTATACACACATTTATATATGCATGTATGTGTCTGCAAATTATAGCAATAAAAGCATTAAAATTACAAATACTCACATGTTTATCAAGATATACCGAAGTATCTATTATTGGGACATGTGTGGTATTACTATTTAATGGAAACAACTGCCGATTCACATTTGAATTCTTATATACGGTACGATTATACAATTCGCAATTGCTGTCATCATCATCATCATCATCATCATCATCATCATCATCATTATTATTATTATTACATGTAGTATCGCATAAATTGACTTCCTTTGTAAAGTCGAAATCGGGAGTTGCAGGAGAAGTATCCGTAATGAAAGTAGGAGGTTTATAGTGTTTAAACAAGTATAAATTTTTCGAGGAAATATAATCTAGCGGGCATACAATGACATTTGCATGCTTCATTGGTAATGATTTACTATTATAACGCTCTTCTACACGTGAATTGCTGGCAGGGTTTACATTTAATTGCTGTTCTGTTTTGCTAGTGATATCTCCTAGTCTCTCCTTGTTTACTGATAATTGATTTGATATAACATTTGGTGATGCATTTACTTGATACGATATATTGGAAGAACACTTTTGTATTTCAGCTAATAAGAGCATCTGTTGTTTTTGGAATTCTGCTTGTAGCAAGGATTGTTCCTTTTGTTGGCGGTATATCAGCTCCATCATTTGTTTCTTATGCATTTCTTCAATCTCCTTGTAGACTGTCAAAAGTTTTTCAGGTGTAATAGATGATTTTGTTTTGATAATTAAATTTTGATGTTCTTTGGTATCTTCCATTTTATCGTGCTTGTTTTCATCTATGCAAGAGGATTGAGATTTAAGACTATTTGCATCTTCTACAGATTTTTCACTTGATAAGTTTGATACACAGAGGCTGCTATCTTTTTCTAATTTTTCTAAGGAATTTTGTTTTTTAAGACTTGTATCAAATATATCATTATGTTTAGGTGATGTAAATTTACATATATGTTCTTCTGTAACTTCTGTTTTAGTACTATTAGCAAATTGGTCTACTTGATATGATTCTGCTAAAGTATTAAACTCTGTGTGCTCTGTAGTTGATTCACTTGTGCATTCTAACTTGTTTGATGCTTTGGTATCCTCTGCTACAAGTTGCTTATTTTCCCACTTCATCTTAGGCTGCACAATGTTCCATTGTTTTCGTTGCGACGCATTATGTGTAGGTGTAGATGTGGGAACATAATTCTTATCGATCAATTCTTTCTCTGTATGCATCTGAGCGAGCAACATAGGACTAGGTGTGTCCAATACATAAGAACCTTGACGCGATAATTTAGGCGGACTTTTATTTTCCTTGGAAGCTACTGCAAGAGAACTAATATTGTTCTCTTCGTTACTTAATGTTATCGGAACTATATTTAATGTATTGGGTATTTTGGGTTTCCAACTTTCTGAAGATACATCTTCATTCAATGCTGGGGTATCTGTTGCAGTAATGTATTCATTTTGATCAGTCTCTATAGTTGCAGGTTTCGCATTAATATTATCTGTTAAACAAACTTGTGAATGTTGCGCATCTGATGTAGCAGACTGAATATTATGTTTGTCTCTTGTTTCTCCGGTAACTTGCATCATTGGCTCAATGATTGTTGTTTTAGAATACGAGTCACTATTATTGGTATCGCTCGTTGTATCACGATTGGATAAGTCACTGTCGGAATCATATTTGATACTTTTTAATTTATCCGTTTCTATTACATCGGCTTGTACGCATTTATCTTTGATATTGCGTTTAACTAGGTGTCTACTTTTTAATTTTTCTTCTACTTTTATTGCTAAAGCTCTATAATGTTTCATTTCTTCTTTGATGCTATCGGTCATCTGAAAATAATATAACGTTAACATGAAGCAATCCTACAACAAAATTATCGAAACCTACTATTTTTATTGATACTTACTAAAGGTGAAAGAAGAGATATTCCGTTTATTTTGATACAAGAACTAAAAAATTTCTGTTGCTGCATATTTTACGCGTCCAAATCTTTAAGAATACACTTTGCACCAGACTTCTTTCAACTATTTCTTCACACGGTCAATCTAATTATCACTTTGTACCGTTTCACTTTTTCTTTTTCTTTTTTTTAAATAATTCTCCACTTTTCAAATTTTACAGGAAGAAAATCTTTCGCTTATCATTCAAATATCCAAGGCGATCCAAAGTGCAAGTGCAATCACCAAGGAGATTAAAACCATAAACGTATTACATACGTAGAAAGCTTCGCATAGATTTATAAAATTTCCTAGAGCGCCATCAATCTCCTAGGCATTATCACTAGCACTAAAGTCACTAGATTAACAAAGTACCGCAATTTTGATCTCAATAAGATAAGATGGAGCAAAAATTATATAATAAATAAATAAATAAAGGATGTTGAGAAAAAGAAAAAGAAGACTCATAAATAAATAAATATATAAATATATAATAAAGATTGATATTAATATATACATATATATCATACGAACTTGTACGATCTCAAAATCTTTATCTTTTATTCCGTTACTCGAATACTTGTACGTTAACAGATTTAGGTTACACACATTGCATAAAGCTTTGATATTTTGCAATCTTATCTCATCTCAATTTGGAGAAGCACGTGCATTCCTTTCGATAAATGTCCGCACAAAAATACATCGCGCTTCAAATAAATAAAAGTCACTCGATACTGTGCACGATTCTAATCGTACGAAATATATTCGACGATCTTTTTTGGATCACTGTATTATCGAAACGTGCAATCAGGACGATTCGAAAACGATGCATATACAGAGTTTGAAGAGATATCCAATGCACGACAAATTATATTTACGTTGATTAGTATTCATCAACACCGAACTGTTAATCGCGAATACAACACTTTCACACATTTTTTTCGCAAAGAACGATATACGAAATCAACATTTCGCGCCTCGCGTTTCACACAATGCGGCAACTTTTTTGCTGTTTAGTATCGCCATCTGCATTCACGTTAAACGCCAGAATTACGTAATCAAAATACTTTTCGAGTGCCGGTAAAGTCATCATTATGTGCATGTCGGTAAATTCTTAGAATCGCGTCGCGCAAGCATAATTTTTTTATTTATAGTATAATAAAATATGTAATTAAAAATTCATGTAAGAAACGTACTTTTAATCAAATTACATATACTTATTTCGTTACTCTAATACTTGTACGTTAACAGATTTAGGTTACACACATTGCATAAAGCTTCCAGAGAAAAATATTTTATAAACAAAGGCACAAATATTTTATAAACGAAAACCATGCGAAGATGAAACAATAGATTAAAGAAGCCATATAATCATTGTACTTTTATGTATAAACGTCTCACAAAATAAAATCTTGATAAATGAAGCGTTACATTAAAAAAATTAGTATAAAATTAAATATCATGTGAGATTTAAAATTTGTTGTCCTTTTTTTTCTTTAGAATTTTTTTACTTTTTTTTCTAAAGATTCTTTAAGCGAGAACTGCTTCTTTCGCAAGACTATTGAACAATTTGAATGTTTGATATTTTCTTAGTAGTTTAAATTTCGTGAAAAAATTCTAGAGAAAATTAGATTTTATCGTATTACTGCACATATCGATTAAATGCTATATCAAATATGTAGTGTAAATATTTTAATTTTTTTGTATACGATCTACTTTTTATTTTATCGATGTTTTCATAGTGATGCACCTTGAGCACTTTGCTTCATGTTTGCAATAAAAATATATTAAAGCAAAATTATTTTGCAAATTTATTATTCTAATTTTTATTTAGAAAGATTAAGATTAAAAAAGACGTATGAATTATTTCAGATAATTCTATTGAAAAAAACGCATCAGATAAAACTGACTTTCCTGTACATTTTAAATGTGCCAAAAGATTTGCTCTTTATTCCACTTACTGCAATAATGTACACATGTAAAAATGACAGATCTATTAAAAATGATAGATCTATATTTAGTAGTTGGAAAGAAAGAGAGGAGAAATGAAAAGTGCATCTAAAGAATTTAAAAGAATAAAAAACAAATCTAAAAATAATAATACATAAAGATTAATATTATGTATTTTTTTCATGAGGAATGTGGGGCGCACATTTATGCATTTATTTATTTAGATGAGATTTACTTTAGAGCACATTCAGTATTCAACTTTAATTTTATTTTCTCTTTCTTACCATATATAAGTATAACATAATTACCTGCAAATGCTATCATTTTTGTATGCTTACAGTGATACAGAAACAATATTACAAGTACTATATTTACAGATAACATCTGTATAATAAAAAAAAGCATCAAAAGTCTAATGGTGAAAAAAGGGTAAATATTGTAGACCAGCATAAGTATCAACCAATTATTCCACCGCTCTGTTTCATTGGAGTTGCATTTTTCTTTTATAATATCATGAATATTATAAATAAGATAAAGATTTCAGTACGTTTCAAATAAATTTATATATTTTATGTAAGTAATACTGCGCACACATATTAAAAGGTGATAATATCGCAGGTATAATAAGATACAATCCTGGCAATGTAGCGATGTTTGGATTCTGAAAATAATTTAATTTGATTTATTTTTGAGAAATGCGTACAATACTTGAGAGCAAATTATTTTTGTACCATGTATTACCGGTGTTTCCAAACTTCCACACACAGTATCATATTGTCTGCGGTATATGAAAAGCTTCATCGATGAAATAAATGGTTGAATATGATTGAGATATAAGAAAAATATTGTAATGTATATAGTACTTGAATGAATAACGTTATGTAATAATAAATTTTATATTTTAATTTCATATAATCGAGATGAGATAAGACACTCATGATTACTTTAAAAATGTGTCCACAAATATCATGTAACTTCAATAACTGCACATTCGTCAAATTAATCCTATTACGTTAAATAAATCACAGCAGCTTGGTTTAATCTAACCTAACCAATTATATTATATGCTCCTCATTAAAATGTGTAAAACTGTACATCGCACATTTAATGCGATTAATATACTACGTAATAAAATGTAATACACTAATAAAATAATTAAATATTATTTTTGAAAGCATGATACAATCCAGGCAGCATACGCTTGTATTTACATTCGATATCCAAAGACACTGAGAGAGAGGGATTAGGTTAGGTTAGGTTAGGTTAGATCAAACAAATTTATCGTTTAACAGTTGGCAGCCCTACGAGATAGGTTGCCCTACGAGATGTGCAGCACTGCGCGCGCGTACAAAATAAATTTGAAATCGCTTCTAGCCGAACCATCTTCACGCAATCGACTTTATTTGAATTGCACGGCATCGCATCGAATTATGATGCGGCGCCGATTTGTTCGAATGTAATTCGAAACATCGCGATGCTGTATAAGCGTCGAATGAGCATGAATTGTCACGCAAATATGATAAATCAAATCTACTCACCGTTCACCGGCTGTTCCACAGGAACACGGCCGCTCCACTCGCTCGCCTCGGGACGTCCCATTCCGATCTTGATGCACACGATATCATCAACGCGAACGCGCGACACTTTATTCGGCACTCCCGATACTCGCTCGCATCCGATAATCATCATCAAGGGCGCGAATAACGCGACGCAACTTCGCTCCATCTTCGCGATGACGCCATCATTGAATATCGTCAAAAATCGCTGTCGCGCGTTTCCATCGACACACTATAAAAGTCGCGCGATCATCCTTGGACACTTTCGACGCTCGTTCACTCGCGATATTCGTTTAAAAACGGTTAAAAGACGCGAAAAATGCGGACGTACGACGATCCGTGTAACTGCGTATGACTCCGAGTCACGTATGACGCCTATGACGTAGCTATGACGCGTTTGACGTCACGCGCCAACATGGCGGCCGAACCACTGCGCAGTCGTTTCTGCTCATGGCCATTCCTGCGCGCAACCTTCGCACTTTGATTTCTGAAATATTGTTTACGGCTTTAATTAATAGCACATAATGATAAATATATAAAGATGGAATCAATTAATCATATTGGTCATATATGTAGACTTGCCTGAAGGAAGAGTAAAAATTGAGAGATATTTTTAATTTTTTTTTTTAATAAAAAATGGAAATGTCTTTTCATAGGCTTGTTCTTCTTTTTCTCTTTTGTGCAATTTCGATTCAATATATAACGTAGAAAATTCATAGTATATTGCATTTATTTTTATATATTCACAACTATAATATTCGCGCGATCATTTTTTGACATTTACAATACTCGTGTACCTTGTTCTCGATGTTCATTTTTAAAGGAATAAAGAGAATTATATATAAATGTAAATAAATTGTCCGAAGAGAGAAAAAATTGAGGGATATTTTTAGTTTTTTTAGTAATGGTTGGAAATGTCTATTCATGATAGAAATGCAAAGAAAGAAAATTATTATGTTTAAAATAATAATTTCATATGAAATACAAAATTAAAAGTTACATTATAGAACTTTACTTTCTAAAAGCGTAATAAAACAATCAAATAGTAGACAGAGAAAAGACTAATTGTAAAAGAAAAAAAGTTGTTAACTTAACTAAACCATTTAACTAAATTATTATCTTTTTAACTGGAATATTTAACTATTATAAATCTAACATTCATGACATTTATTTAACTTAAATATTTCAATATTTTAATTTAAAAAATAATAATTTAGTTAAACGATTTAGTTGAGTTAACAAAAACTTTTTTTTCTCAATGTACGTATGTGTGTGTGAGACTTTAAAAATATACTTGGATATAAATACACTTATATTATTAAACGATTAATACATCTCGTGAGGTTTAATAAATAATTAAACTATGTACACTGATAAAAAAAGTTGTTAACTTAACTAAGCCATTTAACTAAATTATTATCTTTTTAATTGGAATATTTAACTATTATAAATTTAACATAACATTTATTTAACTTAAATATTTCGATATTTCAATTTAAAAAAAAATAATTTAGTTAAACGGTTTAATCGAGTTAACAACTTTTTTTCTCAGTGTACGAGAGTGTGTGTGTGTGTGTGTGTGTGTGTGTGTGTGTGTGTGTGTGTGTGTGTGTGTGTGTGTGTGTGACTTTAAAAATATACTTGTATATAAATACAATTCTCACATACGTCACAGTACGCGTTAAATATTTCGGCAGCGAGCTAACACGTCATTCGACCTTGTGACGTCATTTGGCCTTGTGACGTAGCGCGCTATTGTTTACATACGCGACGACCTCCCCTCATTCGCACGGCGACATTCCAACGGGAGAAAGTAGCGATACGGACCGCTCCGTATTATCGAATTCTTTTCCTAAAGGTACGATCGCGATTAGATCGAAATATAATAATTCGACTATTACAAATGACAAATAATTAACTCTTATAATAAATGTAATTGTGGCGACGATAAATTCATCGAAACGCGATCTTTCATTATTGCAAATAAAAATTGAAGCGAAAGGGGCAAAAATTACAAATTTTCTCGCAATATTCTCCGATTATCGAACTTTACGAATAATAATTATTTCTTTAACATTGCGTAGAATGAAATTCGATTTCGCCCGATGTTTTAAACTTTCCTAAACTGCATGCATATATATCATATTAATTAAACGATTGCTGTATCATCAATTTACATTACTTTAATATTTTAATCTTATGATTCGCGTTATTATGCATATATTATACATCAACAAATAGAAATAGTTAATTAGTGTAAGAATCGAATGGTGCATGATTTTGGCTTCGTTTAAAAATCGAGCGAATTATTGTAATTTTTGTGTTCCTCTCTTGCAATAATAATAAAATAATAATAATATTATAAAAATACGTATCTCGTATGATTATTTTGCGATCGGGAGTGCCGTGCAAAGTGTCTCGCGATCGTTTCTGTATATGACTGAAATATAATTAACTGAAATATAATTGTTTGTTCGCGAGTGAATACGTGACTGCTACGAGGAAACAACAAAGGATGAAACAACAAAAGAAAAGGACATCTGGAAAAGTATCGGACAGTAAGAAAGCAGGGAGAGAGCCTGAAGCAGCCAGAGACATGCGGTGAGTAATTTATAAAAATTATTTATTATTTATTATTTATATACACTATTTTTAAAATAGATATATATTGCTTATTATTTTATTATCGTTTTATTTTTCGATCATTTAAATATATAATTCGGATTGAAATGCAGTAAAACAATCGAATCGTAGATCTAAATAATTAACTTAACAAAAAGATCCATAAAAGATATATTAGTTCTTTTAATAAATAATATCGTATACTTAATCTATATAAAAATGAAATATTATCTATTTATTTCTAAATATTAAATACTATAAATTTAATAGTTATATATTTTGTAAAATTTAATTAAAGGAATCATTAAGATATTCCAAAAGAAACGAAGAACTTTTCTCAACGTAGAAAAAGTTAATTATAAACAAATTTATATTTAATTATTATAATTAATTTGTATTTAATTTTATTGGAATTTTATTATTAATTTTATTGCATTGTCAAACTCTACGCGATCTCTGTAATGATAGCTATTCACGAAATAGGTACAGTGAAATAATCAATTATTATCGAAAAGAGGCAATAATATACTTTTAAATTTAATTTAAACTTTTGATAAACGATGTAAAATTTTTTTATTATGATGAGAAAATAAAAATGGAAATAACTTCACGAAGTATATTAATCGTTTAATAAATAATTAATCCGTGTGTACGTGTACGTGTGTGTGTGAGTGTGACTTTAAAGATGTGTGTTTAATAAATTATTAATCCATGTGTACGTGTACGTGTGTGTGTGTGTGACTTTAAAGATATACTTGTATATAAATACACTTGTATATAACTTTAAAAATATATATTTCCGTTATGTTAATTATCCGATTTTTATTCGATCGTTTTATTGCGCGTTCTGAATCAAATTATATTTAGATCAAATGATATCAGAAAGAATATTTATTTATTATATTAGAATTCTAAATGTGTGTGTGTGTGTGTGTACACATATATATTAGGATAGAAACGAAATAGAAATAGAAGAATAATCTTTGCTCGTAAAGATTGCAACAAAGTAATAATTTATAATTTTGATTCCTATCGTATAATCGAGTATCGTATTTCGAGAGCAATCAACTATTTATTAATAATAAAATTGTATATAACTTACGAATATATTCCACTTATTCCGGACGTTAATATCGCGACAACGACGAATAAACTTTTCAAAAAAGTTTTTATATATGAGACAGTTCTACCAATCACTGATACAAAAAACTCGTCAATTGACCAGTTGGTGAAACTGTTTCAGTCCTGAGTATTTTCTTAAAAGAGCTGTTGGCGCACATACATGCGTGTATTATCGTTACGCGCATCACGCGTAAACATAATTCTTCTTCGAACGAACCTTGACATTCTCGCGGGTAAAGTCACTAGATTAACAAAGTACCACAATTTTGATCTCAATAAGATAAGATGGAGCAAAAATGGCGTCCGATAGTACAGATAGTGCATACTTTGTGTAGCTATCTATACTAAGTGCAATTTTTCTAACTTTGATCCTGGTTTGTCCTGTGTCCTGTTGTGTGTGAGGTGAAAAAACTCCTTCTGTTGCGCAGAAAAAGAAGAAAATATGCCAGGTTGTTGCGTGGAGAAATGCAACAGTCACAGCCTATATCTATACTATCGGATTGAGATCAAAATTGCGGTACTTTGTTAATCTAGTGACTTTAACTAGCACAAGCAGCGCACGAACAGCTGATATCACGTGGATTTTTGACAACGATGTAGTACATCTAGATATTTGTAACTTTTAATAGTGTTTACATTTTGTCCAGATTATTTTAAATAAAGATTCTGCATTTTAACACAACAAGGGATACCATCAAAAATGATTCCTGTAATTTTAATATTTTATACAGTCTGATTTCAACTTTAATAAATTGAAATTATTCATTTAATCTATCTAACCTACTAATGTTTATTCTGATTTTAAATATATTTTCAGGCATGCGACACTTTAAGAATTCTTCATTTGCCTTCGCATCTTTCTGACGATCGACGAGATGCGTTGTTACAAAAATATGGTGCAATTAGAACTAAAACATCTCGTCTGTCTGATAAGCATGTTGTTACTTTTGCCAAGTTTCCATCTCAACAATTGGCAGCGGAAGCACTAATGCGTTTGCATCAATTGAACATTCGAGGACAATATTTATCAGTTGAATATGCTAAAAAGTCCGTATTTGCTGAATTTACAGAACAAGATATTCAACATGAACCGCCAGCAAGCAACGAAGCAAAAGTAGAAACTACTAATAAATCTCATGTTCAAGCATTTTTACGCAAGTTAAATAATTGGACTATAAATCACGAGTTTAGTCAACCACCTCCACCAAATATAAAATACAAATATATGGCACCAACAAAAAGTATATTGATAAGGATAGCTATACAACTGTTGAAAGAACCAGCTTTTTATACACAGGTAAAATATATTAATTTTGAAGTATTATTTTACTTAATATTATAATTTTAATTAATAACATTTAACTTTTATATATGTTCATAGGTATTGCACTTAATGAATAAAATGAATTTGCCACCTCCCTTTGAAGAATTGGAGGCAGAATTTCCTATGCTCAAAGAAGCATATAATGTGGAGAAATATAAAGATATTTTTGGTAATAAAAATATAAATAAATATAGATGTAGTAAAAAAATTATTGATAAATATATTAAGTTTATAGGGAAATCAATTTTTTTAAATTTTATTGTAGGTATATTACATGAACATACAAATGAGGAGGAAGAAGAATCTGAATCAGAATTAGAATCTGATGGAGAAGATGTCAGACTTCCAAATATCATTCCTGTTAAAAGAAAACTGCCACAATCTAAAAAACGTTTGAAAATTCCAAAATTTGTAAACCCTGCCAAAAGTATTGCAGCTTCTTCCTCTACGCAAAAGATGTTCAAACCAGAAGATATATTTGAACCTGTTCAACGTGAAGAGATTAAGAATCTTAAGATTGATTTAAAGAGTTTGGATAAGTCATTAGAAGCAACTGTTAATAAGCAAGATAATACTACAATAGATGGTGGATTCGGTTTAATATCTCCAATTAACAAAACTAGCAAAGATACAAAGGATAGTAAAGAGAATACAGAAACGCAAAAGAATGAGTGTATAACTTCTGAAGAATTGGAAGCTAAGACAGCTAGGATTTCTATCAATGATCAAAGATTACTACCAGTATTCAAAAATTACCATCCAGGCATACCTTCCAATCGTCTCTATATAAAGAATCTCGCGAAACAAGTAGAAATAAAGGATCTGCATTATATTTATAAAAGATATTTTATTGCAGGATTGGAAGATGCTGAAGATGAGTAAGTGTTTTGTTTGTGTAACAGTATCTATTATCATATCTTATTATTCATTATCTCGTAATGCATTATTATTATTTACACTACAGATACGACGTACGACTCTTGCAAGAAGGTAGAATGAAGGGCCAAGCTTTTATCACCTTACAAAATATTTCACAAGCGAAAAAGGCTCTCAAAGAAACTAATGGATACATATTAAAAGATAAGCCTATGGTGGTACAATTTGCCAAAGCTGTTAAAAGTTGAGATAGATAGTAGGATCTTAATTTATTTCATGATATTGTTATATTAAAAAGAAAGAAACTATTATGCAAAGATTTTTATAAAAATAAAAAATTTTTTATCTAGTATATCGATTAGAAAAAAAATTTATTTAAAGAGTAAATATAGAAAAATGGAAAAAAAATATAAATAAATATTGTAATGTTCAAAAAATGTTGCAACTTACAACAGAGTTGTGTATCAGTATAATTTTATTCAACAATTAACAATTAAAGAGATACCTTATTTGTTTGTTTCATTTGGATGAGCAATAAGAGTACCACACTACTCAGAATGAACCTTGATGAAGATAGCAAACCTCTTGCTATTCTTCAAACTTTTTTCAATTTATTTAAGCTAATAGAGCGTCCAGCGCTTTCGTCACTTCGGCGAAAATTTCATCCACTGTTCCTTCTGCATTGATCTAAAAGAAAATAATTATCGTAAGCCAATAAAAATATGCAATAAGCGCGCATTAGAAAGAAAGAACTGTATAAACTAAACTCACTCTAACAACTTTGTCTTTGTAATGCTCCACAATCTCATTGTTCTTTGTGTTAAATATCTCGATCCTCTTTTTGATTGTCTCTTCGTTATCGTCCGCCCTTTGAGATACAGCGGCACGTCCCAGAAGTCTTTTTTTCAAGGTCTCATTTGCCACATCGAAGAAAAGAATTAAATCGACGGGGCAAACCTGTACAGCAACATCATTATTTTGAGAAAAATACAAAAGTAGATAATAAAAGAAAAAAAGGAAGGAAGGGCTTTACATTTTGCTCAAACAGAATACCCTGATCCTTCTCACGGGGATATCCGTCAATGAGAAATCCAGTCTTTGTAACGCCTTCTGCACGAGCTTTCTCCATCTTTTCCTTTATAAGCTCCAGCACAATATCCTAGCGAAACCACATGATCTTCACACTGAGAAAAACCGGGTTCGTTCGCGTAAGACGCGCGACATGTTTTTTTTTATTCATTATGTGTGTTGAGTAATTTGAATCTTATACCTTTGATGTATGTTAATGTAAATATAATTATAGCGAATGATTGAATGATGTAGTGAACATGGCGCGCGTGAGATATTATACCGTTGGCACGAACAATCCTTTGGACATTAGGTCCTGTAGGGACGCTCCCCTCTCGCTACCACTGGCCACTTCCGCTCGCAACAAATCACCGCTGCTCAGGTGGAGGAGTCCGTACTTTTCGATCATACGGTCGCACTGCGTTCCCTTGCCGCATCCTGGACCGCCGATAACCCAGATCGTTTTCATTTTTCCCGCGTAGTTTTCTTCTCAATGTGGCGCTCGCTAGATTGAAAATGGCGATCGTTTAAAACTTGGAAGCAAGAAACTCGAAAATTAAAAACACTTTCTCCTCTTTTTCTTTTTGAAAAATTAAATGTATACATAAATTTTGAGTATCTTTGAATTGCATACGAGACTTTTCGACTTGTAACAAATGTGTAATATTTAAGCAACTTTTCCAATATAAACACATATAAAGATAAACACATATAAATATATAAACACATATAAATATATATGTTTCTTAATAAGGGTGAAAAATTTTTGGAGATGATTCTTTGATAGTTGATTTTAGGTTTTTAGGTTTTTATTATAATTTTGTTTTTGTTTCAATTTTCCCAACATTTATTCTAATTTTATTTTTATTTTAAAATTTAACTTCTCATATTTCGAAACCTATGCTATTTAGTATGCTATCGTGCTGTACACGATAACGTATTTTATTTCTTTTCTTGAAAACTACTGATTTTTTGAAAAAAATAAAAGAAAAAGATTTCTAAATAAATGAACCTTTTTAATGCATATTTTTAGATGATCATATTCCGGCCCATTATAAAGTTCTAATAAAAAATTGAATAAGGATTACTAGTTTCATTCCCTTATAACACTAAGGGAGACTGAAAAAAATATTAATAAATAATCTTTTTACTAATAGAAAATATCCACCTAATTTCATTTTTTTAACTTGTTCCAAATTTGAGAAAAAAAAATAAAAACCTAATTTTTATCCCTATTTTTGGAGAAGTGTAACTCCACAGGGAGGGATGTAGGAGTATATGTTTATATGAAAAACCCTCCTTAATTTTCGATAAAGAATAATTTCCTAAAATTTTTCGCACTTATTAAGAAACACCCTGTATATTGTAAGTAAAGGAAGTTTTAGCGAATAACACTGATGTTGATCAAATGAAGGAACGTAAAAAGACAATTTTAAACGTATCGATTTTTCACTCGTTCGTCATGAAATGAGCTGCGCTTGCGCCCTCGACGCGAGACCTCATTGATATGACATCTCGTCACCTTGAACCTTTTCCAAGTCTCGCGAGAACCTAAGAGCACCGCACGAGAGCTAAACTCGGCGAGTCAATTATAACCGAAAACTTTGACGATTTATTAAATTTCAGACAGCAATTCTCGTTTGACAGCTATTTCCGAGTCTCTTTTTTACTATTTAAATTTAAATAAAAATGAATTTAAGAGAAACATTAAATTTAAATCGATCTCTAGTAATTTGGAATCGTTCTATAAACTTCTAGCGTGATTTAATTTAATCACTTTTCGTCTCTATTTGATCTGAACGAAGAAAAGAGAGATTGAGATTAATCGGTAAAAGTTCTCGAACCTTAATAAAGGCGTTCGCGTGTCGATCGGGAGCTTCGTCGAGATGTAAGGTTCACCGTAAAAATGTGTCAACGCGCGGCAACGACAAAAGCACGAAAACGACTAAAATACATCCGGCCCAATTTCCCCATTCCCCGGGATTACACGATGACAGCGATGGCGTATTATACAATGTTGTTCACAGATGAATCTATGTAAATATAGCAACGTTTAAAAATAAATCCACGGCAAATGCGAAGAAACTTATCTAGATTTTGTATCGTGAAATACGAGCATATAATTTATGCACCAAGCATTGTTTCGTATAATTAGAACGTGCGGGGGCGGAGACCTTGTGTATCGTGCACAATTTATATAAACGAGTGTTTTATCGTAATTTTTAACGTCATCTAATAAATATTATATTCCGAATAAAAATTATATATCGACGAGGTCGCCTCTAGATCGATTCCAAGAAGAAGAAAAGAATTACTCTCGTTATCTCGAATAAAAAATTAAAAATCCAACTATCTCTACAACTGGGAAAGAATTGTTTAAATACCTTCCTCTCCGAACGCAACTCGTTTTAGTTATGCCACTGCGAGTAAATCAATGACGTGCATTACTAGACCGACATGCCATCCGCATGAAAAAATTAACCACGTGTTGTGGTCATCAAGTTGTTTTGACACGAGCAGTTATCCTTGGAAAGATTATTGTTAATAATATACATCTGTCAAAAGGAGGGATACAAATACGGCCTGGAAAAAACAAGTCATAAAATACATTGCAATACAGATGGTAGGTCCCTTTCATCCACCATCGATTTGATCGATTGACCACGTCGCCAATTGGCCAATTCAAAATAGAACTCTCTGATTGGTCAATCGTTGCTAGGTACCCTAGGCACGATATAATTGGCCGTGGCCAATCGCAACGTGAGTGGATGATGCGTCAAACGATCCGATTGGTCGGGCGAGATGGCGGTAAAAATGGCGAAAACTTGGATGTACAAGATACAGAATATTACACAATAGAGGAGATTCGAGTTTTACATTCGTATCTCGAGAATATTCACTCTCTGGTCGTCAATTTTGTCGGCGCGTTTCGAGGCGTTGATTAATCCAGAGTCCCTGAGAAGTAATTTTGGAAGACTTGCGTGATATCCCACGTCAAAAGCATCAACATGGTAGGTTTTAATACAGGAAGGTAAAAAAAGATTACATCCTAAATAATTGTATCGGTAAACATTTTCTTGGCGCACGCTAACCCTATCTCGACGAAGCGGGCCGAATATATTTTTCATCGTTTTCATTATTCTTTAATTTTCTTTTATCTAATATATTACGATTTTGCGATGGAAAATGTTCTGAAAAAACGAGGATAATAGTAAGTAAATTAACGTTATACTCACAAACGCGTTTCCGCAAATCGTTCCACTCTGTCAACTCTTCCACTCTTTGATCCGATCTTATAACCTTATAAGGATATAAAGCACTTATTCCGCCGCACCCTCGATTCGATTCTGCTTGTTAATGTAATCGACCTTAGCGACGTAGATGTTTAACGATGTCGATTTTCATTTATTTATTATTCGATTATTTCACGAGACCTCAATTCGGTCTTGCGGCTGATTTCTTTCAATTTTGCATAAAAAGTTGCAAAAAATGGGAAAATACGCGAGGGTATTTTTTTACACTATTATATTTAATTTATATAGTTGAACATATTTCTCTATTAATATATAAAATTTTCTCTTAAAATTTTCAGCAACCTCAAATAATTCTGTTGAAAGAAGGCACGGATGCGACCCAAGGAAAGCAACAAGTGATATCCAATATAAATGCATGTCAGATTGTTGTGGATGCTGTTAGGACCACTTTGGGTCCTCGTGGCATGGATAAACTTATAGTCGATCAAAATGGAAAAAGCACAATTTCAAACGATGGCGCTACCATTTTAAAGTTGTTAGATATCATTCATCCAGCTGCTAAGACACTGGTGGATATTGCAAAGTCTCAAGACGCAGAAGTAAGAACTATTCCAAGTTTATTAATATTACTTCATTCTCTGAAGAGAATTTAAGCCAGTGTTTCTTAAACACTTGTCTCAGTAATAATGCGAAAAAAATAACATTATTATACATGTACAAATTCAGAGGATATTAAATTTAGGATCTGTAGACTGACAATTTCTTAAAGATATGTAATTGTCTCACACAGTGTTCAAACATTATATTGTTTATAATATTAAGAGATGATGTAATATAAAGCGAATATCTTCAAATATCTCTATGTTTAATAGGTGGGAGATGGCACGACTAGCGTTGCTTTATTAGCAGGAGAGTTTTTGAAACAGATTAAACCATTTATAGAAGAAGGTGTACATTCGCGGATAATTATTAAAGCTCTCCGTCGTGCACTTCTGATAGCCGTAGAAAAGATTAATGAATTAAGTGTAAAAATAGATAAAAGTGACATAAATAAACAGATTGAGCTCCTGGAAGAATGCGCAGCTACATCTATGAGTTCGAAATTAATACATCAACAAAAGAAACATTTTAGCCAGTTGGTTGTCAAAGCTGTCATGATGCTAGATGATTTGCTTCCTCTTAATATGATTGGTATTAAAAAGGTATGCTTATATATATAATTATACAGCTTTAAATTTGTACACAAGATTCAATACTCTTTAATACAATATAAATAATATAAAACTCAGGTATCTGGAGGCGCGCTAGAAGATTCGGAGCTGATTCAAGGAGTGGCTTTCAAGAAGACCTTCTCGTACGCTGGATTTGAGATGCAACCGAAAAAATATCAACAATGTAAGATTGCATTGTTGAATATCGAATTAGAATTGAAAGCCGAACGAGATAACGCGGAAGTGCGCGTGGATAACGTGGGAGAATATCAACGAATCGTCGACGCGGAATGGCAAATTCTTTATGACAAGCTCGATCAGATTCACAAGAGCGGCGCAAAAGTCGTACTGTCTATGCTACCGATTGGCGATGTCGCGACACAATATTTCGCCGACAGGGACATGTTCTGCGCCGGTAGAGTGCCCGATGAAGATCTCAAGAGAACGATGAAGGCGTGCGGCGGAGCCATTTTAACAACGGTGCATGACATCAAGGAGTCTGATCTTGGAACATGCCACGTCTTTGAGGAGAAGCAGATTGGTGGCGAAAGGTAATTAATAATTAAAGGTAATTAAATAATTTTTACATAATAGGAGATAATTAAACCATTTGAATTTTACAAATACATTAATTTCCCAAAAGATTACTATAACTATAAATTTAAGCATAACGACAATTTTGAATCGTGTATCGCTAGGTTCAATATCTTTTATGAATGTTCACGAGCAAAAACTTGTACATTCATACTGCGTGGAGGCGCAGATCAATTCTTGGAAGAAACGGAGAGATCTCTCCACGACGCGATCATGGTTGTTAGACGCATGGTGAAGAACGATGCGGTGGTAGCCGGAGGCGGTGCCATCGAGATGGAACTCTCAAAGACCCTGCGCGATTATTCTCGTACTATCGCTGGAAAGGAGCAGCTCTTAATAGGAGCCATAGCGAGAGCCCTCGAAATTATTCCGAGGTGATCATTTTCGACACGAGTATTTCCAAGTTAATTAACGCTATACGAATTGTACATAAAACAATGAATGTCGATTACAGACAACTCTGCGATAACGCTGGATTCGACGCGACGAATATCTTGAACAAGTTGCGACAGAAGCATCATAAAGGCTTGCAATGGTATGGCGTCGACATCAATACGGAAGACATCGCGGATAACATGCAGTGTTGCGTCTGGGAACCTGCGATAGTGAAGATCAATGCGTTGACCGCCGCCACGGAAGCTGCATGCCTTATTTTGTCCGTTGACGAAACTATCAAAAATCCCAGGAGCAGTCAGGACGGTCCGCCAGCAGGACGCGGGATGGGCAGACCCATGTAATCGGTCATCCTTTCGTCGAATTTTTAACTTTTCAGGAAAATGAAATCAGATACAATGAAATAAGAGCATAGCTTACAAACGTGAGCTTTATATTGTATCTTACAGCCTCGTCTCTCACAGTCTTTTGTACATGCTGCTATTTATAATGAATTGCAACAACAGGTGATTTCTTCTGTTTAAAATAAAAGCTTGTATTGTTCCTTAAGATATGTAAAGGTATATATATACCTTCTTTATGAAGGAGAAAGAGTTGTGTGCATCCAATATAATTCTTTCATCTCTTCTATACCTTTCATTCAATATTTCAATATTATATTTAATTTATGCACGAATGAAATCTTTAAGATATATTTGTATACAGTAGACAAATTACAATTGTATTATCACTCTGATCTTTAATTCGATTTACCAAATCTCATCCCCTTTTACAATAATTTAAAATTGCAAGTTTTAATATTATTTTATAAGAGTAAAACAGAATTAACCGATTGAGCTATTGAGCTCTATTGAACATTGTTTGCGCGGTGTTCCGTTTGGTGGCTTTGCTTAGCTCGCTATCTTCGGTCTCGTCGTTTCGCGATTAGTGGGGTCGGTTTAGTAGGCAGGTAGACTGTAATAGCGACGATCGAGCGTGGTTTATGCAGTCGCGGATGTAAATACAACATCCCTCCTTCCTGTGCGCGTCCATTCGCCACGCGAGACATGCCGCTTCGAGGATTGCGATAACATGGCATCGTTCGAAGAGTTGGATGAGATCGCGCCGAGTTTCGCATATGCCGCCGACAAGCTGGAATGGATCCCGCTCTCTCTGACATTGGTGGAGTATCCGCAAGGTCGGTGCTCGCATTTCCTCGCACATGCTTCCGCGAGTCTGAAAATCCCGACTGCCGAGAAACAGACAGAGCCTTCAGCCTCGATCATCGAGAAACGATCACTGGATCTTTATTGATATAATGATAACGATGACGATTAATACACACTCTGTGCCACGTTTGTTTTTTTTTGCCGCTTCACATATACATACATCTGCTCACATGGACATGACCGAGATATGGTCATTATGGTCAAGCAATTGCTAATGATAATCACCCTCGAATCAGATTTATATTGTTGAAAAGAGAAAAAGTTACATTTTTTTAATTATTGTATTTGTTATTGTATTTATTGTATTTTTTTGGGAGAATATACAAAAATAAGTTGTATCAAAATATTTAAAAAGGTAAAATTTAAAAGACACAATCTTTTAAATTATTTTTGTATTTTCTCAAAAAAAAAAAAAAAATACAATAAATATAATAGCAAATACAATAATAAAAAAATATAATAACAATATATATTTAAATTTTCAGGGGATCTCTTTGGAAAGCTGTTAGCTGCATTAAGTCTATTACCCTTTGCTATTGTAGCTGGTTTTATCACATTAATACTATTTAGGAGAGATTTACATACTGTAAGTGATTATGATAATTTTTATATAAACTATATTTTATATAAACTATATGTAAATACTTGTAAATGCAATTTGCAAATGTATAATTTGTCCTTTGGTTACAGATTGTATTTTTTAGCGGAATTATTATCAATGAGTGTATAAATTTTGTATTGAAACACACGATTTGCGAAGAGAGGCCGATAAAGAGAGATGGCCTGTATACCGAATATGGTATGCCATCTACACATGCACAATTTATGTGGTTCTTTGCTGCATATGCGACACTTTTTATATATTTTAGGTAAATAAAGTAGATGTCCATCTCATTGCTTTCACAATTAGACTATCATCTTTTATTTATTCTGCTAATAACTCGTGGAATCTTATTTCACATTCCAGGTTAAACTACAACTGTACAATAGCTGAGAGATTTTGGCGGACAATAGTAGCAGTAGGATGCATTACCACAGCCATATTGGTAACTTACAGCAGAGTATATCTACAGTATCACTCAAATAGCCAAGTATTCTTTGGTGTATTAATTGGAGTTGCACTGGGAACAGCATGGTTCATGATCGTGCATACGGTTTTAACGCCATTCTTTCCTATAGTGGTTTCGTGGTTGGTAACGATTTAATGGTATAATAATAGCGATAAAGTCATCGATTTAATCTTCTCGTTCTTTTTCAGGCGAATGTCGGAGTACCTGCTGTTACGCGACACAACTTTAATTCCTAACGTTTTGTGGTTCGAGTACACGAGTATTCGCACGGAAGCCCGAGCGCGGGCGCGAAAGCTATCGGCAATCGGCAGATCGCACTGATAATGGCTGGTCAGTGGGCTGGATATTGAATAATAAATGCCTTGATAACAAACAACTTAAGAAAACATTCCTTTAATTGATAAAGTTTGAAAAAATTAGCTCGACAACGCGTATGGAATAAGTGAGTTGATACTCGATTCTGTTATCATCAGAAAAATGAAGCGCTCGTCGTTATCATTCAGCATTATCGTTATTATGATAATTATTAGTATTAGCATTTTTTATCGAAAGTGTCACGCGCATTCGAGTGACGCAATTTACAATTTCGGCGACTGTTGCAAAAACATTGTCATATAAGAAGGAAAAACTAGTTATTTAATGTGCATAGCTATATTAAAAGACAATTGTGCAAATTCCATCAAGATTCTCTTAGCCCGAAGTTCATCAATTGTTTATATGTTTCAAATTTAAGCACGCGAGTATTCTGAACGAGTCGTATTCCCTTTAAGTTTTGTTATTCTTCAATGATACATTTTGTACGGATTTCTAAAGGGATATGTATGTATCTCACACCTAATTCTTCTCTTTGTGTGTTCCAGATAATTAAGTTAAGATTAAAATGTTAATGAGGAATGCACGCGTTTTTCCTTCTATAATTAATTCGGTTAAATCAAGATTCAAAATTGAAAACACAACAATTAGTTAACAGTGAGTAGCCGCAGTGAAAAAAATCAAGTTTTTCGACAATATAAGTTTACTCGACAAATACGCTGGAGAATGAATTATCGTAAAGCTTTGACAGATTTTTGACAAATTTTTCCAGAGTATTTGTCAAAATTTCAAATCCAAAAATTCATGTTTAGTACATGTTTATATACATTGTATGAGATATTTATTTTCCAAGAATAATGAAAGTGATATTAATTGACAGTGCATTTAATTACAAGCAACTGTTTAGTGGAATGCAATAAAGAGCGTCGTGAAAAGTACTGAATAAAATTATTAATAGAAATCGATAAAATTATAATACATGCAATGCATCTCACACATTGTATGTCTTCTAAGTGTGTTGGTGCAAATTCTTCCTTACCTGTTTATCGTTGATTTATTATCACATTCATGTTACTGCCTGAAGATTAAATATTATATACCAATCTAAATATGTTGTATCATTCTCATTTTCTATTTTTTCAGAATTAAATGTGATTATGTTCACATGCTCTCGTTCTTATATAATAAGTGCTTGAAAAATCAAAGCCTTTATTATTGATCTGATAAAAATTAGACAATAGTAATATATAAAATGTTATAATTTTTTTAGTAAGAAATTGGGAAGAAGGAGATTTGACATTTTATTGAAGAAATTTAATAAACAATACCGAGTAATCATTTGTTGCTTTATAATAAATTACTTTATAAGATTTTAATATGCAGGATGAATTATTTCACCCTACAATTTACAATTTAAGAGATTCTGTAATGCTTCTATTTTATAATTAAAGTTTTGCACTCGTGTGTTTATATTGAAATTAAATTTTATTACATGTTTATTATATAATTTTTAATGAGCCGCATTATGAATAATTATATTAATTTAGCCATAGCAGATTTAGTCATGAGTAATAAAATTTGCCCAAATTTGAAATAAAAATAGAGCTTAATTAATAAAAAAAAATCTTTCAACAGCAAGTTCAAATAAAAAAGTAGAATTAAGGTGTGTCAAAGCTACTCAAGTTGCTCGATAAACACTTATAGAATAATTTTCTCTTTATTTTCTTATCAATATTGATGTGGAAAATAAGGGTAGACTTTATTTAAAGATTCTCTTATCAGCGAGCAATGTCATGATACAGTGAAAAAAAAAAAGTTATTTAAAGATCCAACGCGTGTCATACGCATGCGACAATATGTCGCCACTCTGCGGAGACACGCGGTATTAATGATCGATAGAAAATAAAGTGTATGCATGTATATGTAGACACATATTAGAGAGACGGAGTGAAAAAGGAGGGTTGGGTGAAATAATTCTCGATCGTGCGTCAAGTATCTAATCGCGAGGATGGATTTTAACGTGAAGAAACTGGTGAAGGATGCGGGAGCCGCCCTTAGCAGAGTCGTGCAGGTGGGAAAAGCGATTCTTTCCCTTCTCTAACGAGTCCAAGTTTGCTTTCTCGAGGGATGGAATGCAGGGGCAAACGTATACACGTTTGAGTTTAGTGCCTGTCACCGAGAATGACATTTAATCTTCGAACATGTTACATGTCATTGGACGAACTTTTCGGTTTCCTCCATCGTTTCTCGTCACCATCGAATTTTATTCGACGCCAAGATCGTAAAATTCTAAATTTGCCTGCGCACCCAATGTTATCCCATTTAACCTAAATATCTAATTTAATTTCAGCCAGTACCGTCATTGATTAATATCGATTTTCGCGATACTGCTCTATAATTGTCTTTGCACGAGTGTGAAATCCTCATTTGTTGGCGTTAGATTAACCGAAAAAATTTAATACAAGTCATAACACATATATTGTATTTTTTAGTTAACGGAGGAAACACTGGGTACTTCAGAAAAGACAGAGTTGGATGCGCATTTGGAACATTTAGCCGAGAGAGCAAATGCTACCAAGACGTGGACGGAGAAGATACTACGGAATATGGAAGCTGTACTTACTCCAAATCCTGGTACCGGATGTTTTTTAACTTGAATTTATATATTAATCGTAAACTGTATCATAATGTATGTAATTAAACTTTTATAAAAATTTCTATACACATTATATTATTAATTTGACATGTTGTAGGCAACAGGATCGAAGACTTTTTCTTTGAGAAAATTGATAAGAAAAGACCTAATAGGTTGAGCAATTTGGAGTATGTTGGTACCGATATGATAGAAGCTGGAAATGATTTTGGTCCAGGAGTAGCTTATGGTTAGTATGAAAAGAATTCTTATATTACATAAGAACTTTCTATAAAAATATCAATTTAATCAATATCATAATTTTAGGTAGTGCATTAATAAAAGTCGGACAGTGTCAGCAAAGATTGGGACAGATTGAGAGAGATTTTATAGGAACTGCTGCCAATTGTTACATACAGCCTCTGAGAAAATTCTTAGAGGGAGAGATGAAGACTGTTAGCAAAGAGATGGCAATATTGGAAACTAAGAGGTAATATACAATTGCTTTGCTCATCCATTTTGTTTACTAAAAATTTTTTTGTACTACACACAATATTAAATGATTGTTGCAGGCTGGATCTGGATGCGTGTAAAAATAGAGTAAGGAAAGCAAGGAGTATGCTTGGTCAACAGAGTGTAAGTATCATTAATCATTCATTTACCTTAAAGATGCATTTTATACATCTACAATGTGTTTTGTCCTTCATATTGCTGCGATTGATAGGAGTCTGGCGTATCACCCGAAGTGTTGCTCGATCAGGTATTGATGCAATCGACAGTTTTGATCGCTTTTTTGATTCAGAGATCCATCAATACAATCGCGATAAAAAAAATTTTTAACTATTTGTATGATTATATGTTACATTTTACAAATATTTTTCAAGTAGTTGTATTTTTGTAACACTTGCATGTTGCGTATGCAATCGAGCACATTTTTTTATATAATATATGTATCTAAGTTATAGAACAAAATACCCCTTTTATTTTCTATAACAGGTGAATAAAAGGAGCAATTAATAACAATTATCAAATTGCAAAGCGAATTATTTTTTTTCGCAAAATATACGCTTTGCAATTCAATTTTAGTTTCCTGATTTGTCACACTAAATAACAAATGTCGAAATACACACAAAGAAATGGAATAAAGGAAATAAAATATATATATATATATATATTGCTCAATTCAGGCAGAGAGGGAGCTGAGGGTAGCGCAGTCGGAATTCGATCGACAAGCAGAGATCGTGAAACTATTGTTGGAAGGTGTCTCGAGTTCTCAGGCCGGACATCTGCGATGTTTGCACGAGTTTGTGGAGGCACAAAGTCGCCACTACGCGCAGTGTCACGCCGTCATGCAGGATCTACAACGCGAGCTTGCCGGGTAAGCTATCTCATCCACCGCTTGGTTTCCTTTTGTTTTGCAAAACGTGTTCTCTTATCTATTCCACAATATCATTGTCCTCGCACACTATGTGTCATTGCGACATTTCTTGTACAGCTATCCTACCTTATGGTGATCCGAGTGAGTAATGTTTGACAAACCTTGAATGACTAATAACTGTTTAGATATCGAGCTTGCGAGCTCCGCTTCTCCGTAGAACATCGGGCATAGATTTGGACCAACAATATTGAAATTGAATGAAATTGAATGAAATTTGACGAGATTTTCTACAATAACATATAAATCTTTCGCTGTACAGAAGACGCAGCGTTTGGTTTGCCGAACATTACCAGTTGCAACCGGTTTCAACACAATGTCTGTTAATTTGTTTAATTTTTAAATTATAGATAACGAAATTAAAGCTCAAAGATGGCTAACTTGATGGTGAAACCGGTGGTTAATCAAATTATTATACCAGATCTAATGCCGACGTACAATTTAATCGCTTATCAGCCTGAGCTTGTAACAAACATAGCATAATAGATACTCTCATTTTCGTTATATTTCCAATTATTTTCCTCGCTTCTGGCTTCCACATACAATGTTGGAGTGTTTTCTTTCTCTCGCTATACTCTCCGTCTCTGCTTGCACGATTGGAATTGCAGGGCACGTCAACCGAGCCCTTTACTGAGAGTCAACAGCGAGGAAGTGATCGAGCTAACTCCCTCGCCCACTCTCCCTGTAAACTCATCTGTCTACCCTCAAAATTCATCTACAACTACCGGATCTACCGCTTATGTTACAGCCACATTCGACACTGATAATACTAAAATTTAATTTACCCCATCGAGAAATTGTTCACGGATTGTTACAAATTCTGAATCTATAACTATTTAATTAACAGATCTATTATGTTAGTTGTTATACAATTTTCTCTTCTTCTAATAGCAATGTTTATCGACATTAATCTACATACATGTGCTTTTAAATTTAAACACGAGCTTAATTCGATCAATGTCGCTTAATCGTTGCAAATATGTCATCGAATAGAGACTATAATTTTATATAATATATATGCAATCATATAATTGTACATATTTAGGCAAAATATTTCGATAAATTTTCTCGTCAACGATTCACGGCGATCTACAACTTTATCTCTTCTTTCATCTTTTATTGCTCTAATGTCGTTCTTTGTAAGCAATTATTTGTTACATCGCCGTAACTCGATTGAGAATAATATTGGCTCATAATATCGAGGAAAAACTAATTCTCAGTATTTTAATAATGTCATGTAACTAAATAGTGATATAATTATATGATGCTTTTCTGGTTGATATAAATGTTCAATTTGATTATATTATACTGAGAGATATTAAATTTCCATTTATCTCGTATTTGACATTTTGAAAATATAACAATAATGCATGTAATTCCAGTAGAATTGAGTGAGAACACACATGCTCGCAACAGACTAATTTTTGTTGAGTAATATAATAAAATTCAATCTCCTTATAAATCGCATGCATATATTGATTTAATTCAGCACAATTAAAACACTTATGATTATTTCGCTCATTGTTGAATAACAATTTAGTAGAACTTGATAATGAATGTGCCTGTTTTTCTAAAAAACGTCGTTTCTTTGGTTGTAAAATATGAATATATTTAATGTATATTCAGCTATAACATATCTCTCAGCTAGCTATGAGCCATCTTTGTAAAAATGTGTAAATATATGTGTTATAAAAAATACATATCATTCGCTTTGATCAAAAGTTTATTGCATTGTGTTACGCATAATTTATGATGTTGGAACAAAAGTTCGCGTTGATCAAAATGAAGTAAAAGCTCGATTAAAGCGATATATTTGTGATTTATGTCAGTGTGCGACTCTTATCAAAACTCTTATGTTGTGTTTCCCCATACATTTTCACTCACATACATGAGTTAAAAAGATAAATGCACATCATGTTCACTTATCATTTATCCTACCCAGCTTATCTGGGGGTTCCTATTATACCACCCAACCAGCCACTACCAATGCACTATCCGAGAACGATCAGGACAGAGCGAGAGTATTGTGCAATTACGACGCGAGGGATTCTAGCGAGCTGAGCGTTATGCAGGACGAGGTAACAAAATTTGAAATTTAGACGGCATGTGTTTGGCGATATACAATCGTGCGAAAGGCATGAATTTGTAATCGGATTAAGTTATGGTATTGTAAGATTATTTAGATTATACACATTTTTTTTATCGAGTTCTGTATAAATCTTTAATATAAAATCTGTATAATACTTTAGAGAACTTTTTCTTTTTGTATCTCTCTTTGTTTCTTCAGGCCTCCATGTAAAACTTAATTTTAAGCTTAAATCTTTCGGGTTTATTGTCAATTTTCGATCAAAGTTTGAAAAAGATACGGAGAATACCGAGAAATCTGTCCCGAAAGAATTAAGTTGTACGAAATGTTATATTTCTTGATATACATTAGACTTAAGTATTTGTTATATACTCTAGTTTTTAAATCGAGATATGCGTTCATATTTATATAAATCTTTAAGAGCTCTCTGTTAATAATATTAGAACATGTACTCTCAAAGCTATACATGTAACATATTGTTAATTTACAAAGTATGATATATTCTGAATAACTGTATGTTCTGAATAACTGTTTTTCTTGAAAATAGTTTTGAAAGACTCTCATGTATATTACTTACGTTATATTTTCTACATATATTGTCAGAGAGATGGAAATGCATAGCAAGAAATTTTAAGGACTATGATATTTATGCAATTAGAAGGAATTATTTTCTAAATAAATATAAAATATGCTATGTAATATAAAAAATAAGGATAATAATATTCATAATAATGCAATGTTAGTAATATAAATATCGTTCTGCATAATTTTGAAAGTCTATATAAATATATGTGATTTTTTTTAAAGAAAATCATTCATCTTATCAATTGTAAACACGATCCAAAATATTGGTCAACCTATTATCTTGATTAAAAAAATTATTTATTATTTATCCTTACAAGATTATCAATTATACTCACACCCTATTTATATATGAATTGTATTATTTATGCAAATTATGATAAATGTGTTGTATATCTTAATTTTTAATTTGTTTGGATTTAAGTGCGCATCAGTTTTGTTATTCTTTTTTTAAAATGATGTATTAGCATTCACATATTACATTCCTTTCCCGCATAGATTTGTAAAATAACAAATGGAACATGTTCAATCCAAAATGGTTAAAACAAACAAGTTATTGTATATTTATTCAAATTATGCATGTGTGTATTATCAATAAATGTTTAATTTGGTAAGGACATTTTATTCATTAATTATATATATCGTGATTATGGTGTCTTTTATATGTACCTTCTGTACCTAGATGTTTATTAATGCTAGATAGTTGCTTGTGTATATTATAATCAATATGCAAGATGTTGTAGCTTAATAAACATTAAATATATTATGAGATACATATATATTTTAGGTAATTGGTATTTATGAAATTCCCGACGATGAAGATTACTTCATGGGAATTAGAGGGAATCAACGAGGAAAGGTGCCCAAAGTATACTTGGAGAGGCTTATTATACATCGTTAAAACACTCTAAAGATATTCTATCATCTATTGTCAATTGCATTTTTAGAACACATATTCTTTCGCTTTTTCAGCTTGAAATTAGAATAGCTTATTTAATTTGGAAAGCGATTTGTTATGTCAGGATCAAGAAATTAATATTTTGATCTAAATAATAATCGTTCCAAAATTATATATATATAACGTAATATATAATAAACGTTGATTCCTGAATCCAATATCACGTCGTGATATGTTTCATGATCGATTTTTATATTTAATATCAATAAATCGAATGAAGCACTTATTGTTTAAAAATTTATTGTTAATATGCACAATATATATATAGATTATTTTTTTTTCGACACACCGACCGTGCGTCCACGACGACCAGTGGTTTTTGTATGCTGACCACGTACACGGAGACCCCAGTAGTGACGTAGACCTCTATGAGCACGAATTTTCTTCATTCTCTCCAGGTCCTCGCGCAATTTAGAGTCCAAGTTGGCGCTCGTGAGCTGCGATATAACACAAATAAAATTTAGAACTACCTCTTATTAACAATTACATATATCTGTAAATAACTCGATCTCTCTGTTGCACTTGTTGTACCTGTTACTTAGAATAGTAAGAGATATTACAAAGCAATTTAAATGTACAGCAATGCAGTTACTATTGCACAAGCTACCATCTGAATGTACAATGAATGTTTGTACAGTCAGTCGTGAATTTGTGCGATAAGATTTGTAAGACATATTGTAAAGAAAGATAAATGATCATTGGAAAAAACATGTGTATATAACATTTTTATGCCCATTCGAATTTCTTAGAGATGTAGTCATTTAGACTAAATTATATTGCACTTTTAATGTGCAATTTTAGTTTAAACATAGTTTTCGACAACAAAGTATTTGTAATTCAACAGAAATAGATTTTTTTCTTTTCCAAAATAAATAAATCATACCTGAGAATACTTTCCATCGACAATATCTTTCTGCCTATTGAGGAACCAGTCTGGTATCTTATATTGCCTAGGATTGGCCATAATAGTGACAATTTTTTCTACCTGAAAGTATTTTTAAGAAATATTTTAAGTATACATATATATCTTGCGATGTCAAAATATATATTTTTTTTAATTATAGAGAAATAAGTCGATTTACTTCTTCCTCGGAGCATTCTCCAGCTCGCTTGTCCAAATCGATATCTGCCTTCTTTAGAACAATGTTGGCATAACGTCGACCAACACCTTTAATCGCAGTCATAGCGAACATGACTTTTCTATTACCGTCAATGTTCGTGCCCATGACACGAAGAATATGTTGAAACTTCTCAGGAATCACGAGCGACTAAATAATAAGTAAAAATGTATTAGTCAATGGAATATTGTGTACATATTCAAAGCTGTAAACTGTAGCTCAAAACACGTGATGCAAAATAATTGACTCTGAACCAATGAATTTTAATTTAGAGGAAAATTGTCGAATTAAGAAAATCTTTGCAAGTTTAATTTTAGCAAGTGTCGAGGAAAATACACTCGGAAAATTCGACCATAAAGGTTATGAGTTAGAAGCGTGTTACAACTGGACGCGTCCAGTCTCAGTGAATACGAAAATATTCTCAAATAAAGTCCAGCAGTGATAGACTTATCGTCTCGTTCAACCACTTGGCATGCAGCTTGCAAGATTTCACTGAAAAAGCGGGATTTCGAACAAGTTTTCCGCGAAACTCACCATCTTGCCGTTTCACTCGCTGCCACTTTTCCTCGAAAGACAAGCAGGAGGATCGAGACGACGAAGCATGAAACCGGAAGATGAAGTTTCATTCTTCTTGATTCTCAAAGATGGCGCTGCTCTGAAAATAATCTAAAATTGTGATGTGTTGTTTTACCGACATCGGATAACTTTAAAATTAAGGGTCAGTTTTAGAGAGAAGACTGAGAGATATCATGGACTGCTTTACTGGAAATAAGTAACGTTAGAAGTTCATATTTTTTAATAAACTATAGCTCAAACGATTGCTCCTTAATTGCTCGGTCCGAATCTACAATTGTTCCCCTTCTAAAATTAATAGTGTTTTTAATATTTACAAAAAACGTAAAATTGATCATTTTTATTGAAAAACATATTTCTAATGGTTTTCAGCAATTATATTCGGTATAAAACGATTGCTCCTTAATTGCTTTGCATTGCTCCATCGTTATTTTAATAATTATTGCATTTTTTTTAACGAAAATTATCAAATTAATCATTTTACTAGTGGCGTCGTCGTCATTTGTGAAATGATTTATTTATTAATTTTCGATAAAATAATGCAATAATCGTTAAACTAATAATGGAGCAATAGGGAGCAATTAGGGAGCCTTAACCGGAGATGGTAAAACTGACTCTATCTGGATTATCTGATATTGGTAAAGCAACGCCTATTTCGTGATCTAACTAAAGATGTCGCAACTTTGTCGAAGCGACGCCATATTGTAATTTGTCGACTTTGCTCTTTGCTGCAACATTTTTAGCGCGAACGCACAGGCAGTTTTTCTCTACGAAATTTTTATCAATTTCGTCATCAAACTTAATAAACAGGTAAGGAACTTATATTCCTGAACAACATTTTATACAAACTGTTTGATGGATTAACATGATAGATATAAATGAGAAATTATTATGTATCTTTGATACCATGATACATATCGCCATTTCTCAATAGTTTGAAATTCCTAGAACAATGCAAGTCGAGGAAAAATGTGACTGTTACGTTGCTTTCCGTAGTAATTCCGGAGAAACGAAATCTTTACGATGGAGTAAAAGTCTAACAATATGTCTGTTAAGGATGAATAGACAACAGATAAATGATAGAAAGGAAAAGTTGACAAAGAACACGTATACAAATGTCGGTCTAAAGCAGGTACTTGTGTCCATCTTCCGGTAGGAAATAAAAAAAGATTCATTTATAACGTACTTGTTTATATATGAGACATCATCTTTATTTCCATCACTTTTATTCTTTATATCTTTTCTCTCTTTCATCTGTTCTTCTCTTTCAAGATAAAAGGACGCATTTCTTCGCTTGATTTTCACGCCAAACGAAAAATAAACGCGCTCTTTCATCTCAAACGCAGAAGAGCACGGAAGCAGACGAAAATTCCATGATCATCGTCGTCCCTGTCAGTCGTCGAGAGAGCAAAAAACGTTCACCGGCATCGACACGGTCGACATTGCGCAAAAAAATTTCACGCGGGTACATCTAATATTAATGCCTCGAGCGTGCGAGATACGGTCCCGATTCCACGGATGCGCCCGCTATTGCGCCAACGTGGAATGAAATTTGTCTCGGTGTCGATGGAGTTTCGATAACTCGATAAAAATCCGGCGAGCGAAAAAGCAATCGTTTCGCCGCGCAAAATCCCCCCTTGCCCCATCCGCCCTTTTCCTCTTTCTCTTTCGCCTCCGATCTCCCCTCCTGATCGTCTGCGAGAGTCAGAGGTTACTCGAAAGATAGCTGCGAGGTGGCGAATCGAGGTGGAGAAACGAGCCGAAACGAGCGTCCGGAGAGTGAGTAGGCGGGG